TTTAGTACTATTAATTATTTAAAGATTTTGTACAACCCATCAGTATAATTAATTTTCTTTGTAAAAATATTGGATGGCTTTTATGAAAACTGTGATAATCGTTGCCGTGTTCAAAAATTTGCATCGGCTTAGCATCCGCATTATAGTATCATAACAAGCAGACCGTTTAAACTGTAAAAATCCTCGACGTAAACTGTTAAAGGATGAAGTGTCATTATAAAGATTTTTTTAGCCCACGTTGCAAGGGGGGCACTCTTTTGAAGTTTACCTCCGACAAAGGCGTGGCTGGAATTACGCGTTGCAGTCGTACCACGGTCATTTCCTCCTCCCCCATGGGAAAAAAATAATCATTATGTATCTTTATCAAACACAGGATTCTACAAAAGGAACTCTAATATAAATATTCATTACAATAAATCCTGTTTTTCCTGTTTTACATAGCATACCGGTTACATACCCCCAGTTTTGAAAACTAGCGATCCTTCGTCTACTGTAAATTTTAAGCCAATTATCGTTATTGTCTAGCCTTTAAAATATTATCGAGAGTAGATAGATTGTCTGTTTTAATCTCTGAACCGCACGGTTTCGTCTAGCATAAGTATACGACCACAAATTTGCATATGTTAGCCATAGGTCCTTCAAGTTGGAAGTCTATTGACATATAGACTCAGAACGCTTTTGATAAGGTGAACCATTTTTTTACGCTGCCAATTCTCTCGAGCCTTTTTAGCTTAATCAGGCGTATCTCATGGTTCTACCTTCAGCCTTGTATTTTTCTTAATTTTCATAAAACTGTCAGTTCTCTCAAGTCAATAACTTTTTAACTTCATCACCGTATCTCAAGGTTCTATTCTCGGCCCTTTACTATTCTTAATATTCGAAAACGGAATTGCCTTTTCTCTCAAGCTAATAGCCTTTCATAGCTCCATCAGGCGAACTTCAAGGTTCTATTTTCGGCCCTCTACTTTTCTTAATTTTCATAAAAGACTGTCAGTTCTCTCAAGTCAATAACTTTTTAAGTTGATCAATGTATCTCAAGGTTCTATCATTGACCCTCTGTTTTTCTTAATATGCATAAACAACATTGCCAATATAATCAGGCGTATTTCATGGATCTACTTTGTGCTCTCTGATTCTCTTAATATTCATGAATGACACTAACAATTTTCTCAAGCCTTTTTAGCTTAATCAGGCGTATCTCATGGTTCTACCTTCAGCCTTGTATTTTTCTTATTATTCATAAATGACATTGCCAATTATCTCAAGCTAATAGCCTTTCTTAACTTAATCAGGCGTATCTCATGGTTCTACTTTGTGCCCTCTGATTCTCTTAATATTCATAAATGACACTGCCAATTCTCTCAAGCCTTTTTAGCTTAATCAGGCGTATGGTTCTACTTTCAGCCTTGTATTTTTCTTATTATTCATAAATGACACTGCCAATTCTCTCAAGCTAATAGCCTTTCTTAGCTTAATCAGGCGTAACTCATGGTTAAATTCTCGGCCCTCTTCTTTTCTTAACATTCATAAACGACATTACTAATTCTCTCAAGCAAATAACCTTTCTTAGCTTCATCACGCATAATTCAAAGTTCAATCTTCGGCCCTCTGGTTTTCCTTGTCATCAATGCCACATTAATTTAATTGAAAGAATACAAAACAGATTCTGTCAGTTAATTTATTACAATTTCCTTGAATTTCTGTTCTAAATACCATTCAATTAGCTTCAAATCTCCAAAATCGACCATATCTTACTGATGAAAATTCCTCCAGAGCAAGTTAATATTTTCTATATTGGGAGAAATTCATTTAAATCTTTACTTATACATTTTAATTGTTAAGGAACGCCAATCTAAGAAATGGAACTCTTTCGATAGAAAACAATAAAAGACAAGAATAATCTGGCTCTAAAATATTGATCATCCAGACTTTCTTCGAGGCAGCCCGACTAAGCACCTTTTATTTTTAATTCAAAGAGAAATTTCACTTAAGGACTCTATTAAGTGCGTCAATTTTTAAAATCCCTAGACTGCATTAATTGGAAGTGCTTTCCATTTTCGATAACGATTTTGACATAATGAATCAATCGCGCAGAAGATTCCAAGGGTTGAATCGTGATTCACTTTTTCCTACTGATTTCGAAAGTTTTATAAAAAATTTTAGAATATATCGCCCCTAGAGCGTAATAGCAGATTGTAGTACGTCTACGGCAACTTCTTCTATAGAGATTAGATGCGAAATCCAATCTGGTTAAAACCAGGTGACAAATAAGTGCTAATCTTGAATTGAATTCCACGGGTCCACCTCCATTTTCGACCCGCGAACTGAAAGGGATAGGAAGTTGGGAGAGTTTAGGGTCGAACAATGGAGCGCGAGGGGTACAATACTTGGAACTCCTTCGCTTAATGTCGTCTGAATGCGTAATTATATTTAATTCATGAGAATTTCCAGCAGGAGGGGAAAGTAAACATAAAGCTGCCTTTTCATCGGCAGGTGCCACCAACTACGGTATATAAACCATTTGTCTACTTCCGTTATTAAAAATTAATATTGACTTAGTGGTTGAAAATGAAATCAAATTTTATGTAAAAGATAATTCGGAAATGAGAAAACTAATAAAATCATGAAATGCCGAACCATGTCTGAAAGACGAATAAATCAATAGTCATACCATGCCCGGAAACGACCAAGCCACAGGTTGAGGGTTCATCATCCCCCATGATAAGAAGAATCTCATGAACCAAAATTGGTCATCTCAGGCCGACCTGGTCTGCCAAATTAAGCTCGTTCTGTCTGTCATTTCGTTAATTTCAGTGGTTTGCCTGTGTGCTATTTTATCAGTAGTGTCCTTTTTATTCGTTTCTAAAAAATAAATGTGCTGTGGTGTCTTCGTTTTCTTATAAGTCTGGATTTTTTCTATATAGACAGTTATTGTATTCACTTTATCTGTTTCTATGTTGTCTAGTATTCCAATAAATTATATGTAACATGTGAATGTGTTGAGTCTGTTCATGGCTTGACTTTTAGCAAAAGAGAGTCCATGGTGACGTCCAGTGTGTTGTCTAGTTTGACTTTCCTCCGTTCTCCAAAAATTATTTTACCTGTTCCTTGTTTTTTTTGTTTTTTTTTTTAAATTTTCATCAGACTGACCGATGTATTTTCCCCAGCAATCACAAAAGTTGCACTACCCTCATTCCCATCATTTTCCCTTGTTCCAGAAACTTCTGATCAGCAGAGCTTCAGCAGATTCTGAATGACTTGAAAGGTCATTCAAAATAAAGCCCCATAAGCCAATTCTTTCTTACGTACATGCAGTATTGTAAAAATATTCACTCTAGTATCAGATTATGCCAAATTGTGTGCCAGAGCTTTCAACCAGCCAGTGATAGACAATTTCATTAATTATATAATTCTACTTTGTCAAGATGATGAATCATGGGCCAAATACAACCAAGAAAAAGCCTATACTCACCGACACCATCGCCAAAGCCATTACACCCACTGAGGTCAAGTATATCCCGGCTTACCAAAGAGGCTACTCGTTTTGACCTAACTACATTCAAAATGCAACAACACTCAAAAAGCTATTATATTTTTTTGCCTACCTCTACAAACACTTTGGCACACAATTTGGCATAATCTGATACTAGATTGAATATTTTTACAATACAGCATGTACGTAAGAAAGAATTGTCTTATGGGGCTTTATTTTGAATGACCTTTCAAGTCATTCAGAATCTGCTGAAGCTCTGCTGATTAGAAGTTTCCGGAACAAGGGAAAATGATGGGTTATGAAGGTAGTGCAACTTTTGTGATTGCTGGGGAAAATACATCGGACAGACTGATGAAAATTAAAAATATGAAAACAAGTATGTTCCACACTACCCAAAACCTGGCAAACCAGTTCGAAAACTCATGTACAAAGTATTTAAAAAGATTCTTTTTAAAAGAACATTACCCAAATTAAACTCTTCTCCCAGATCTTCAGAATAGTCATACTCTACCTACCCTCCTCCATTGAGCACAAAGAATGGGATCTTTCCCTGAAGTGGTGCATGATTTCAACCATACACAAATTAAATCATGCACTCTGCTTAATTTCCTGCTTTCATCTATCACAGTGGTTCTTTCGCGACGAACAAGGATCAGATTACTTTGTGAACTGTTCTCCAGCAGTACCAAAGCACAGTTTCTTGAGCCAATCTATGTTGTTAACCACACATGACTCAACTACTCTCCTTGCATCGTTTGAATGAATCCTACAGGCGGTTGGTTTGAAAGATCTGTAGACATATTACATCCAGATTGGTGTAGACAATGGAAAATTAAGGTAAATAAAAGTGTGTCCATGTTACATTTATACTCAGAGACAAATCAATCAAAATCTACTTCAATAATATTTCTGTATTCCTACCCCTAAATCTGACGACATTCATTTCGTTGGAATCAGCATATTTGACTGAAACGACAAGATGCTATGATTTACTCTACAAACTTATGTAATAATCCAAACTATCGATGAAAATTCAAAAGTTATACCTGTAACCTTTCTTGTAGTGTTTGAGTAGTGTATTTTTATGTATATCTATCACTGGTACTAATGGATAAATTTTATTAATGCTGAATAACACTAAGTTTGTTAGGTGCATTAATTCAGTAGTTTTCTGTAGTCTTTGGTCGAATGAGTTTTTTTGACTCATAATTAATGTGATACTTGCTTTTACATAAAGCTTGTTCGTGTATTACAGGGAATGATGTGAAGTTGGGTGGTTTTGGTTTGTTAATTTGGATTTTTGACAAGAGGAAGGGATTGTCGAACGAATGTCATTGATGACAGAATACAAAAAAAATGGAGAATAGAATACATTGTATCTTTTACATTAAGTTCTTCTAATTGAGATTAATAAAGTGCATGAACAAAAAAAAATGAAATGAGACTATTAATTTTATCATATTTTTTTATTGTCATTAGCACAAAATATAACATTCTATTAAAAATATTTTGTTTCACCAAGTTTTAATATACAGTAAAAATACATCATTCATAACATTTCACATAAATCTAATAAAGATTGAAATAATAAATAAAAACTATCCACAAGACTATTTTTTCATAAGTGCGCTTTATCCTGTCCTAGTCATGGGACCAGTTTAAGTGTCTCGCAAATCGCATTGACCACATAGTCAATATTGCTCGGGTTGAGACCTGACATGCTTATTCGGCCGCTTTTGAGCAGATAAATGTGATACTGGGAAATAAGGTATTCACACTGGTGCGCTGGAACAAACAAGCATCTTGTACTATGGAATACATAGAAAAATAACTAAATAAACATAAATAAATTCAATTTTTCCTCTTTTTAAAGAACCATGTTTGAATTTGTATAAAAGCCATTTTGTTCAGCTCACACAGACAGGGAACAAGTACTTAGCATGGTACGCACTTAAAATGGTAACTATATTTTTTTCATAAATTTTTCTTTTTTTAAATTTTTAGATTCAGTTTCATTCCACTTATTACAAGGAGGCTTTACATCCAATTAAATATTCAGGGGTCATGGATAAATCATGTGACAAATTGAGACTTGACCACTGCAGTTCTTCTAACCAGATATAACAGCAATCAAAAATCCATACATTTATTTTAATTATAAGTTATTGTAAATTTATAAGTGCCTAATAATAACAACATATAATTAAAAAATCTTTCTAATATTATTTGTTTGATCGACATAACAATTCGATTTAATTACACACTACTTTTTATAATTATTAACAACCTATTCTAAATATTAAAATGAGAATTTTTAACTCCTAAAGATACGTACGATTCAATCCTGTGTAGGAGAACATGCCAATCTGCGAAGTAATATGTTCCCAGTTTCCAGGAGCACCGTTTTTCTCCAGTTTATCCCTAAATAATGCTCTCATGTCCTTGATTCTCCCTGACATCGTCTTGATACATTCTTTCCTGGATAAAAAGTATTTTATTCAAAAATCCAACAAATATATAAACAGACATACCAGTCGTTTCGTAGTACAGGATCTAGTAGAATGGTGCTGACGATTCTTGCCCCGTGATACGGCGGATTCGAGTACATTCCCCTGACTATGAGCGTCACTTGTGACCTCACCTGGGGAATGACTTCAGGCGACGAAAAGACGAAAGTAAGGTTGCCCACTCTCTCATCTGTAATTTCAATGCTTAGACAAACCAAGAAGTTCGGTCACAACGTTAAGCTTACTATAAAGCCCAAAATTTTTTGCAAACGACTGCGCGCAGAGCAACTCCATGTCTCGGCTCACAAAATACCGAACTGCCCAAGCGTCTTCCTCAGGATCACCCGATGCAAATCCTTGATAAGCAGAATCAAAAAATGGGATGAGACTCTTTTCCTGTTAAAACAAATACATAATGTCATGCACTTTATTATTCATATGCTCTTTACCAATGGTGTAACTTCCTGTAACAGTGCTTTTTACTTAACCCTACAATGCCCAATGTCATTTTGTCACCTGTAGGTGACACTTGTTTAAACTGCCACAAAAAAAACAACAAAGCATGTCAGGACTTCCGTTTCCTGTTTACTGTGTTCAATTAAGACCCTTCTTTTACCTGAAAAAATCCAGGCTTTCTACATACGACCTCAATTGGTAATAAATCATTTTAATTTGGACTGTTTTCTCATCCTCGATCGTTTCTTTAAGGTTGAATGTTCTTGGGTTACATTTTGGCATATTACATTAATAATAAAAAGCATAAATAATCTTTTTGTGTTTTTGTAAGTTGTATTAGAAATTTTGTGTCACTTCCAGGTGATGTTGGGCATTATAGCAATAATAATGCCTTTTCGACTGTTTTCTCGTCCTCCATCATTTCTTTAAGGTTGAATGTTCTTGGGCTACATTTTGGCATCATAATTAATAATAAAAAGCATAAATAATCTTTTTGTGTTTTTGTAAGTTGTATTTGAAATTTTGTGTCACTTCCAGGTGATATTGGGCATTATAGCAATAATAATGCCGTTTGTAAATAACAAGGTACCACTGTGATAAGGCAATTTTCACACTAAGTCAGATACCGGGTACGTGATGAGGCACCAAGGAAAGTGCTTAGTTTTGTGTAAAAAGCATGTTTTCTACAGTAAGGCCTTAATTCTAAGGGTTCCACAAATCTTTAACCCGGAGAAAAGGTTGGAATCTTTATTTGACCCCCATACTAAGATGCATCTGAAGACCTACTCAACAAAGATCAGACCGTAGGAGGAAATATCAAAATATCTCTAGGTGAACTTTTGTCTGATGATAGTTAAAAATAGAGAACCTCTTCAAATTCCAAAGACTGGGCAAGCTCTTATCTACAATCTAGAAAACTAGGCAAATAGTTGTGTTCCTTTAGTTGCTCAAGTGAGCACAGTGGTCGATGCTGGCGGTGGATGTTGTGGGCCGGGTATTTTCGGAAAATTGTGTTCAAACCCCAAACAGGTCATGAGGGATGTAGATTGTGGCATACACATCCCCCGTCTACCGTCCGTGATAATTTTATTAAAGAAATTGCTTAACCAATAATGGAGAAATGCCTGATAGTCCCCCTTGTAAAGTGGTTCCCCTGGTTCTCTCGCCACCCACCAGTGTCTGTCTTGCATACCACCCTCATTAATATTTTATTCAAAAGGCTGATACTGGTGCTTGCCTTAACAAACAGACCTTTTTTTCTAAATAAGTCACATTCCTCAAATATATCAGTAATTTTTTTAAACGAAAAATGCGCTGTAGAGTAACACTACCTAGTAAGCGGGTACTATAAAAATATAGTACAAATTCTGTTTTTATACAGAAGGCCCTTAAAAATTTCGTCGAATCATTGATAGGAATAAAAAAATCAAAATTGAAGGCATAAACAGCGTAAAAAATAAAGATAAAGGATAAACAAAAATTGCATCACACCACATCCATCGTTCTCGACTTCTGAGATGCAATCTATTTAAAATGTCAAAGAAAATCCAATCGATAAAGCAATTATTTTTAAAATTCATATTTATACATCGTGTCAAAAAGATCGTTATATAACACCTTTTATCGACTAATGATTCAGTGATAAACCAGTAGCCTTTAAGTTGTTTTCGAGCGAATCTCTTAGATAACCGACGCAAGAAACGTCACTTAACTTGGCCATTGTTTGCCCGTGGAGTCCAACAGAAAAAGAGATTCTATAAAAATTTAAATTCACCGAGAATAAAAACAGATCTATCGGTTTGAACAAAATTAGACATCAAAAGCCGAACATTTTTACGTTGCGGTCAACCTATCATATCATAACAGTTTGTCACGGAAGATGTCCACCTCTAACTTTAATTTTGGTTCGATTTTGATCAATCTTGTTTTTTGTTTTTAATTTTCGTTATGAAGTTCGCGTTGATCTGGGTTCGATATCACAATTTTTATAGAAGTCACCAAAATGAAATTTTCATTAGGTATTAGCACTTCCAGGTCGGCCAGTTACAATAAACACCACTCCAGAAAACATGAGTTGCCTATTTATTGAAGAATGACCATTTTTGCGCGCACAAAAAATCATGAATTCGGCTAAAAGAAAACGTCGGTAAAAAAAACAGACTGCCAGTGTTAAAAGAAATGATCGAATTGTTTGTTCTTCATTTTCCAACATTTTTCGTATCGTTTTTAATTTAGACTTTAATTTCTTAATTATCTGTATCGGAATATCCCGAATTGTAATGATAATTCTCTCCTTGAGATCATCGATGACAACGAAAGATTATTGTAAACAACAGATTTTAAATGACCCCAAAAGAAAAAGTGGAATGAAAAAATAAAAGAAAGAAGTGAATTCAATTTTATAATCAATTTGTTGTTTTCAAGAATAGCCTTTAATATTTCCTTTTAAACTCTAATTCTACCATAAATATACTTCCAAAAGTCAATAAATAACTTGAATTCAATTTCAATTACTATTGTGAAACTAAGTATAGATTTAATTAAGACAGTAACGTCTACTGAAATTTAAAAATATACGAAACGTGTTTAAAATGAAGAAAAACAATTCAAACATTAACAATGGCAGTTTTTTCTAGGCTTTCTTTTATGCACATTCATGATTTTTTTGTGTGCAGAAAATGGTCATTCTTCAATAAATAGGCAACTCATGTTTCCTGGAGTGGTGTTTATTGTAACTGGCCGACGTGAAAGTGTTAATACTAGTAAAATTTTCATTTTGCTTACTACTATAAAACTTAAGATATCAACTCGGACCAAAGCGAAAATTTTTTTTAAATGATCTAGTTTTGAAATCCGAATTAAAAAATGGGGGGGATTTCATTTTTAAAAAAAGTTACGTAGGGCATATTTTATGCAAAAAAAAACACTGAACCAAAAAGTTATTTCAGGAAGCAATGAAACATCTAAAAACGAGACTTCATAACGAAAATTTAAAAAAAGATTTATCAAAATCGAAGAAAAATTACGACGTTAGGGGAGGGACATCTTCCATGAGAAACTATGTATATCCAAATATAATAAATAATATCGCCATCCCTAACCAATTATTGAACATAATCAGATTTTCTATACATAAAGGAGGAAAAAAGATTCTGTTAAACCTTTGAAGGTCAATTATTCTAATATATTCACTAATTTCGTGGTCCGCTTGACCAATTAATACATTACAATTAATTAAAGTTTTTAGTCGAGGTGAAAAAAAGGTTAATGGCACGAGCGGGATTCGAACCCACGATCTTCGGCTAGATACGCTTATATATATATATATTTGGTTATTGTTAACGATATCGCGGCCGATGTTTTCTGTTTTCTTGTCGCCTATCTACAACCAAAATAGAAAATATCGAGATAGAAACCCTAATCTGATCGGTAAAATTTGGTCGTTCGCAGCTTCAGAGCCAACCAATTTCAATTTAATTCGTTTCTTATTTATCTACAGAGAATCTTATTTGTTCAATTAAAAAAATATTTTGACAAATATAAAACACAATCGTCGAACAGCCAATTAACTGACTAAACCTTAATTTCGTACAAGGCCTTGACCTATTAATTAGCAAATAAGATTTTCAAAACTTTCACTTATCTAAATATCGAATATACGTTGAGATTGTTATATCAAGTTCGATATTTCAATAGTTTTCTTAATTTGACTTTTAATATACCTATTAATATGGGTCAAAGCTGGCGTATGTGTCCGGCATGCAGAGAAAGGTTTTTATTTTTTATTTATTTACAGTCCAAACAGGTCAGGTACCCAAGCATAGGACAGTCAAGCAACACGACAAAACAATCATTATGATATAAACTACTAAAAAAGGATATAAAAATAATAGCAATAAAAATAACAGCAAAGAAACACTTACACTTTTAACAAAATATTATAAATAGGTTAATAAATAGCACAACAAAAGTAATAAATAAACCCTCAATTACATTTTAAAGCACGTTTAATATTTTTTTAATAGATCTGAATTGACTAGGAGAAGGGGTCCGCACTGATAGCGAATTTATTTAAGTAAGGCACAGCTGTGGAGATTGAAGACTGTAACCCGTATTTGGTCCTGTGCCATGAAGTACCAAACAATTCATGGGTTCGTAGTTCACGCTGGGGAACTCTAAAGCCAATACAAGATAATATCTCCGGGGAGTCAATAAAATTATTTAGGATCTTCCACAGAAACACAACGGAAGCCAAAACTCTTCTATCCTCCAGAGAATCCAGGCCTACGAGAGCAAGTCTGGCTTCATAGGAACAATGATGGTAGTTCCTGTGATTGCATAATTTGTAATACAGGTATTTCGTGGCCTTTCTCTGTACCCTTTCTATCATGTAAGACCCATCTAAAGAACTCAGCGACCAAACAACACTGGCATACTCTAGATAACTGCGCACCAGAGATTAATAGGGTAATTTTATTGCAAAAGGGTTCTTAAAGTCAGCAGTTTGCCTTAGTACGAATCATAAATTTTTAAAGGATTTATTTCTAATAGCATGGATATGGTCCCGGGGTTGTTCAATGGGTCCCACCTAATTGAAGGGTGCAATTCCTAGGTTCCATATAGAAAGCACGGAGGTATGCCGGAATGTCACCCTTTATTTGAATTGTAACTGAGCACGTCAGCGAGTATCAGGGGTCTCCTGATCCGATTCTTGGAGGAAACAGGTTTGTTTTTCTGTATATAGTAATGAAGTTTTGTGTCCCTAGCGTGTGATCGGAGTGAATGTATTTACTGGCGTGAATGCGTAGTGTGAGAGGTCGACCTATCGACCATCAAATAAATTAGTCATAAAATATGTGTGGTGATGGAGGAATATCGAATACACCCTAAATGAATGGTATGTAAATAAGTAAGAATTCATTTAAGGGTGAATGAGAGTGTGAATAGATTTAGGAACTGATTGCTAAAATGACAGCCCCAGAGCACAACCTCGGTGGCTGGACGGATATGACCCGGACTGCCCACACCCAGGGTGGGTGATTCTTGACGCCTGTCTGTGATTTATTGTAAATACAAAAGCTGGAATTGGTGCCGGTGGAAGAAGTGCTTGACTCAACTCTACATGTGTGTAAGTTGAAGATTAGTGTTTATATAAATCATTAATCAGTAATATACCTGTTACACAATCATCATAATCACATTTCCATAAAAATTATATTATACAATAGAATTGCTTGACAGGCGTATGGTAAAAAACAAAAGTGCTTCTTCTTATCTTCTTCTTATCAAAAGTGTTTAAGACGAATTTTATAAAGTAAACCGTCTAACGTTTCATTTTTACTATTAGACTTTTCAATATTATCCGGATTGCTTTGTTAGCTTCTTTGACAGAGACAGTACTAGCTCATTTTGCTTAGCTGGCATTTTTTTTATGATTAACGCTCGTTAATAGTCGTTGAATGGAATCCCGCGACCTTCAACTGACTCAAGGCAAAAGTAATTACCGGAATAACAATCATTTTTGGGAAAGAGAAACAATAAATGATTATATATCGAAGTAGTTTTAAAATCTCTAAAACATAAACTACAAAAGAAATCTAAACTAAAACAAAAGTAAAACTTCACTGTGAAAAATTACTGATGCGTAGAAGTAAGAATTTAGCTCAACAAATATGGCAGTTATGAATTACAGATTGACATAAGTGGCACATACACAATGTAATGGTCGTTTCGAGGTTTATTAACTTCTTATCTCCGATATAATAAATATCAGCCTTGTCAATATTGTCATTTTATATTAAACATTAGAAATAAGGCCGAATTTTAAGGAAAACGTTAAACTTCATTAGAATATTTTGAGGTATCTTCATAGGGAGTTTGTGATGAGGTAGACTTTTTTTGGTTCACCAAGGTTTCGGCGATTTATATCGCCATCCTCAGGGCCTATTTATTGAAAAATACACATATTAACAGAGTACCAGTGACATATTGGAGAATTATATTGTTTTCATAATAAAGCCTAATCTTTAAAGAAAAATAAAGTCTGATAAGGTCATTCTTTACCCAATGATGTAAATTAAAACACCATAGTTATTTTGATTAACGTTAATTTTATCGTAATTAAAACTAACGTTAATCAAACTAACTCTACAGTGTTTTAATTTACATCAATGGGTAAAGTAATGATATAATTAGATTTTATTATGAAAGCAATGTAATTCTTCAATGTCTCATTGTATCTGATGTATGTATTTTTCAATAAATAGGCCCTGAGGGAGGCGATATAAATCGCCGAAAGCTTGGTGAAACCAAAAAAGTCTACTTCATCACAAAGACTTTATGAATATACCTCAAAAATTTCTAATGTCGTTAATGTCATTATTATAGTAAATTTAGGATAAATGGGTGGCAGTACTGTATAGAATATGTATAGTTAAATTCGTAATTATAAGGAAACCGTGAGTTTTAATATTGTGAATAATTATAAATATTTGTTAAACTTTTAAATTATTAATAACAGTTTTAAAGTCTTAAGAAGGGGATATCGTTATTCCTCCAGGAGTTTTTCTTTCATATACGCCTATGCCTGTGCCTGAATTTAAATATGAATTTTTTTTAATGAAATATTACTTCTAAATTGCCACTCACGCTAATAACGTCGGCGATCTTCTTCCATTCTTCTTTCGAAGGATCGCAGCCTGTCGGGTTGTGAGCACAGGCGTGAAGAACGACCACCGACTCAGGTTCGGCGTTGGACAGATCCTCGATCAATCCTGCCAAGTTCTCGTCGCATTAAAACCCAACGAAAAAGTGGAAAATATGTAATTTCAAGAATAAAAACAAACCTTCTATGTCGATCTTACGGGTGTTTTTGTCCCAGTATCGGTATTCGCGGCAATTCTTGAAGCCAGCGTTGAAAAACAACAGCCTGTGGTTTTCTGAAAATAGGAAACATTTTGTACAATCTCTTGTTGGAATTCGAATTAAAAACGCTTCGTTATCTATATTTAAACTGTACTAAAACAGCTCATGACGAATGCCTGGATTACGTACGAAACTAATCTTAAAATTTTTATATTTCGTTAATCTGAAAGTCAACTATGAGACGAAAAAACAACCCTTTTAAGTTTAAACGGGAGTTTCCCAGAGTCACCCCTCTATTTATCCTTCCGTTTGAATGTTTTCTTATTTGAGATCCGATACTTCAAAACTCCAATAAAAGATTTAAACTGTGTTGACTTTAGCTTCGGTAACGTTATCTTTGCCAATGTTGTTTTAGGGATATTCGAGTGATAAAGTTGTGAGTGTATGTGTGTCGATTTTGAAGAATGTAACACTCAGTATTTATTTAGCCCGGATATAGCGCACAAAGTTCTAAAAAAGGCTTAAAGGAACAGAAGAAACTAGTTGAAATGGTAAACATTGTATTGTATTATTTCATCAGCCATATCGGAGCCTAAAGCGATAAATGGCCTATTGTCTACAAACAGCTGAAATAAGAACAACGATGTCTTATGGCCCATTATTCTAGTGGACAAAAGTTCGACAAAAACAGCTACACGAAAATTAGATAGCATGCAAAGACTGGCAAATCTATGCACCACAGAGTCAATGAAAACAACCCATCAGCTGCCTTAGAAAAACTATTAAACCTTCCTACAATAACATATCCAAGGAGAAGCTCATGCAGACTCCAGAAACAAATAAATTGGATTGGTACTAAAACTTTCTGACATCCCATAATAAATAAAATCAGGCAAATATTCTCAGATAAGAAGAGATTGACCATATGATGACCAAGCTTCACTCATAAAAGTTCTGTTGTAAAAGTTCGAAATTCATTTTAATTCAATGTATGGACGACCGAGCTTTCACTTCAAGTAATAGTAAAACATCAAACGAACGGATCCTCCCATGAAGAAAATCCCTGAAAATCTCATCTTAAAAGTGCTTTATTTAAGCAGCCGACCTTCTTCATGTCAACGTCTCATAGGGAGTCAGATCATCTGATTTTGTAGGTGCTTTATTTGAGCAGTCAACGTCTCACAGGGGGTCAGATCATCTATCTTATCTTGTACTTTATTTGAGCAGTCAACTTTTTCTATGTCAACATCTCACAAAAAGCCATATCACGTGAACTTGTAGGAGCTTTATTTGAGCAGTCAACTTTCTTCATGTCCAACATATCACAGGGAGCCATATCACATGAACTTGTAGGTGTTTTTTTTTTTTTTGGACCAGTAAACTTATTTCATGTCAACGTCTCACAGGGAGCCAAATCACCTGAACACAGAGCTTTATTGTGAGCTTTATTTGAGCAGTCAGCCTTCTTCGTGTCGTCGACTCCTAGGTGCTTTATTTTAACAATTATATCTAACCAGCCCACAATTAAATTGCGTTACAAGCAGATATAAGGGAATATATCATAAACTCAGGAAAACACATTAAAAATAAAGACACTCCAGACAAGAAGTGGTCCAATTTTGTCAGATCCAATAGTGTCAGTATCCGGTATTTTGTCCCTGTGTGAATGTGTAAACATATAATTTTTTTAATGAATGAACTACGCTTTCAGAAAGCATTATTATTTTTTTAAATCAACAGCGATCAGAGGGGAATCAATAGAGATGTCCTTCTCTAACGAGATATCTTTTATACATTTATCTAACTTCCTGGCACTACAACCCTTTGAGGACCCCGACCTCCCCAAGGCCATTATACATGTATATACATTAATTATGAAAATGTGAAAAAATTAATTGAAATGATGCTGAAATAAATGCTTCGATGATACGCACTTAAACGATAAAAGATTGGTCCTAAATAATATTGGGTTGTCCGGAAAATAATGCAGGATTTTAAGTTTTCATTAAAAAAAATCTATATAAAATATTCTGTTTACGTTTACAGGATTACTCATTTGTATGAATGTCAACACTTATTAATCCTCTTCCAAATGATATTGTTTGTTTACCTCTGTAGCATTCCGCTACTTGGAAATAATTCAGTCATCCTTATAATGTCAAAGCGAGAATTTCGTACGATTTTCTTTTACGAGTTTAAACTCGGCCGAAGCGGAGCCCAAACGGCTAGAAACATTAACCAAGTCTGGGGCGAGGGTTGTGTTAATGAGTGCACTGTGCAAAGGTGGTTTAAAAAATTTCGGGAGGGAGATTTCAGCCTTGAAGATGAAGAAGGTCGTGGAAGGCCTTCCTCTCTTAATGATGATGTTCTGCGATCAGTGGTGGAAGAAAACCCCAAAACAACTGTTCGAGAACTTGCAGAGCAACTCAAAGTCAGTAAAACGACCGTCGCTGACCACCTCAAGGCGATTGGAAAAGTGAAAAAACTCGAAAATTGGGTTCCACACTCATTAAACGATCGCCAAAAAATCAGCGCTTTGATGTTTGTGCATCACTTCTTTGTCGAAACAAAAATGACCCATTTCTGGCCAGAATTGTTACATGTGACGAAAAGTGGATTCTCTACGATAACACTAGACGTTCTGGACAGTGGCTCGACAAAGGAGAAGCTCCAAAGCCCCCAACTCATCAAAAAAAGGTAATGGTTACGGTATGGTGGGCTTCATTTGGTTTAATACACTACAGCTTCTTAAATCCTGGCGAAACCATCAATGCTGAATCATACTGTAACCAAATTAATACCATGCATCAGAAATTGGCAGTAATGAAGCCCTCTTTGGTCAATCGGAAAGGGCCCATTTTGTTGCATGACAACGCTCGACCACATGTGTCACGTGTAACGTCACAAAAATTATTGGAGCTTGGCTATGAAACTTTGCCTCACCCACCCTACTCTCCGGACCTCTCGCCTACTGACTACCATTTTTTTAGACACCTGGACCACTACTTACAACACATAATATTCAAAAATCAAACGGAACTGGAAAATGCATTTATTGACTATCAATTCTAAAAATTCTGAATTCTACTCAGACGGAATTAATAAGTTACCAACACGTTGGGAGAAATGTATTGAGAGTATGGGAAATTATTTTGATTAAAGAACATTGCTTTAAAGTAACTAGTTTCTTTTTTTTTGTTTAATACCAAAATCCTGCATTATTTTCCGGACAACCCAATAGTAAATTTTACTGACAAGAACCAACACGTTTTACGGCCAAGTTTATTTTTACTGTCACACGTTGTGCACAAGGACGAAGGTTTACGAGTGTCACGAACTGTTTATCAAAATAATGAATCTACTGAATTACTCTTTCTAGCCGCAAAATGTTATTATAAGGTAAGTATTAAATACATTGCACATTTTAACTGAAATTTGTGAAAGTAGGTCAACAAAAGAAGGATGAGGTCAGGTTGGCGTTGAACTGGCGGCCACCTCATGCCACACCGTGAAACCAATTATCCTCCAAGGTCACAAATTGAGCTTTCGAAAAGATTTGACAAAAAGTAAATTTAAAAAAGGCTCACCCCATGTCGGCGTCGAGACGTAGAACGTTTCGCACTTCAAGATCCTGCATAGGAACTCTGCTCCGACCCGCAGTGCTCCGGTTCCGCTCAGGGACTGGACGCCGATGGCACGATGTTCCAGGATGGCAGGTGATGTCGTACCCAGAAGAAGGTTGGTCGCCACTTTGCAGAACTGGTTCATACCTAGCACCGGCAAATACTCGTGATTCAGGTAGTCGTCCTGGGCCATCGCCAGTTCCACTTGCTTGACGCAGGGTAGGACCCACGGCTTGGCTTCTGCCGTCCTGTACACTGCAAAACGAAATGTTGAGACAAAATTGTAATGTTCTCGCATCCTCTCAATTGATGTCATAATATTTTTAGCATAGTAATTACTGAAGGGTTTTAAAAAACATAAATTAGACAATTGAATCAATCACTATAGTGGTATGTGCGATCTCTCCAGTTCACAACACTAATGCTATGAAAAGCCAAACTTTGGCAATAAATATGTGGGATTAAGGTACGAGAAGGCCGACGTCGTTATCGGAATGTGAAGGAGTAGATAGGGCTTGAGCAGTATAATTAGGATGGTGTGAACCTTTTAGAAGCAGGAACCGGCAAAAGGAACGTTGAGGTTGTCATGGATAGTGAGATTCATAGGGTAGCTTTGACAATATGACTGAGGACTTTTCATTAGTTGAATTGGATGAACTGGATATTGGATGGTTTGCAGAACCACTCAGTTCAGCTCCTTGCGTACCAAAGTGGTCAAATTGCAGTCTTGTATAAAATCTTCTGTTAAATTGTCTCTTACGCCTTGCATCGGGAATCTGCTGTCCAGGTATGTTGTCCGAAGGTATGCTATCCGATGTCCTAAGAACTAACTAAACTAAGGACCTAAGTGATTGGAAGTCAGCCCTTGCGCATCGCGATCAATATTGGTATATTTCCACAATCAAAAGCCCTCCTTTAAGCTTTTTACCAGGCCCTAAAGTTTTTAAAGGCTACGGTGTGTATCCTTCAGACCTTTGCTTTTCCCATATCAGGAATAAAAGTCTGAGCCTACGTGGGCCTTCGTACCAACAGAGGGCAGGGTCCGCTGTTTCTTCTTCTTCCTGGCAATATGTGTAGAGGCTTTTTTTCTGTTACTCCGATTGGTTTACAGTACATATGCCTCCGGAGTTTGCCGTGTCCCGTCAGCAGTCCTACTACGATTCAAGTCCTATTACGTCATAAGTTTAGATATTCTACTTTTAGTTTCTGCGATGGTCCTTTTATGAACTTTTGAGGAGGGTATTTTCCTATTCCTATTCTCTGATGGTTTTTGAAATCTTCGTCTTTAAACACATTTTTACGGGACGGAACAAAAGGTCGTAATGATACAAAAACTGCACATAGTTTCCTATTTAAGAAACCACTGAAGATGAACCCTCTGACAGACAAACCCTGCGAGGATAGTCAGGCGGATAGAAAAGAATCTGCACCACAATACGTGAGGCGTTATTAGGACTACAGGTTTGTGGCATAAAATGCAGATTTAGTTACCCAATCCGTTTTCTTAATTCATTACTTAAAAAAAGATTAAAAGATCTAAATTTTCTCAGACAGCCAAGAAGCAATGAAGGTCTTAAACTAGTCCACCTTCAATTTAAAGCTGGTCCCAGAATGTCTCCAGCCCGTGGGAAAACTGAATCACATAAAATGAACTGTCTATTTAACTAACAAAAACAAAAGCAGCCCTTACAACCTCTCTTACTTCGTTACTTAAAAAAAAGGAATAAAATGCGCACGGATATACATATCTCAGACAATCAAGTAATTCTGTATGCTGTAAAAGGGGTTAGGGCCTGAATACCTTAGTTGAGAGGAAGTCGGTACATGTGCAATAGGTGCATTTTTCCTCATTTTTGGTAAGCTCAAGGTGTTCTCGTATGTTTGAGGTATTGGGAGATATGTCATCAGTAAAAATGGTAAACAGGTTGGGACCAAGAATGCTCCCTTGTGGGACTCCAGCTTGTGTCGGTCTCCGATCATTCGTTTCCCCACCTCACTCTAAAGCAGCCACTAAATTATGATGGGTTCGAACATCGAAAGGAAATGCATTTACTGTTAGTAACAATGTAAATAGTAAACAGAAGTTATGAATTTTTATCAGGTGTCAAACACAGTGTCTTCTAGGCAGCTTTTAATCGTAGCATAACTTAAAGCACGTTAGGTTACTTAATAAATAAAGGACTCGTGTGTAAAGTATTAAACACGTGTTTGTTTTGTATGTTGGAAAAAAGAAAAAGTGACTTGCCAGCAAAGTTGATTTTTACCTCCCATTCCTAGATTGACTTTACTGTTGAACTCGTCGCACTCGTACGCCCTCAGGAGCGAGAACACTTCCGTCGGGTGTCCACAGTGTAATTTGGCGAACTTCGAGTATTCCATTAATCCGTTTCAAATAAAATGTCATTTTCAATAAAAATTTATTCGTCAGATGACGGATCTCCGAAAAATTGACATATTTTGTTCTATTGTCTCAAAGCAAATTCACGGAGGAATTCAACCGTCCAGAACTTTGTTTACTTGGGCTGGATTTTATTTCCGATCGGATCGAGAAGTGTATAAAATAAAGTTAAATTATTTTAATAATAACGCAGATTTTGCCATTTTGAGCATTTTTTATTCTGATTGAGCCAGACTTATTTCATCTATTTCAAAGATATCCATTTGGACGGCTCGCTTGGCTAACAAATAAGCTTTTCATTGTTTCAGTAAACAAATTCCTCTTACTATGCAGAATATTGGATAGCCTTACAGATTTATTTGTTTTTTTAACAAATACATACCATAATAAAAAATAGAATAGTAAATCTAAAACGTGCTGATAACACCACAACCATAAACTCCATAACATGCCGTACACAATGTTGGGATTGTCAGTCCGCAGATTGCAGAGGAATTTTGAAAATTTGACAATTCTGTTTTCTAACCATACATAAAAATCAACCATTTGTTTCGTACGAACTAATGTGAGAGATCATTAATCGAAAACTTTACAGTGTCGAGCGGAGGAAATTTTTCTGCAATGGTTGACCAGCATAATCCAAACATTTTTCTCTCAAACATTGGAAAGAAAGTATATTTTTGTCCAATATTTTGAGTCACGATTATTTCCGAAAACCTTCAACCTTTCGCTAGGGACTCGCGACAAACAAAAGCTAATAATATTCACACAGACAATAACAATCATAAACCCTCTTATGAAGAAAACATTTATACAAACAAAAATGCAATATATAACTAATCTTTTTTTGTAAGGTTGAAATGAAAAAGTTAGTGCCAACTAACTTAACTTAGTAACTATTTCATTCCAACCAAAACCTTACAAAGAAAAATGTTTTTCCTCAAACGATCAGCCTGGTGCATACGTGCTGTCAAGCACGCAGTCGTCCATAAACGATGCGACTTGATCAACGCATCTTTTAGATAGAAGCCCATACCAACATTATATATGGTACAAAAGGTCAAATACTAAATCAAAGAAAAAAAGAGACTTCACCACAATTGTTCTTTAGGTGGAACAATAATTCCATAAAGTTTGGCCTTATACATATTTTGGACAGAACGAAATCAATAGTTATGGTAAAACTCGAGCCAATTTCAAAATTGATAAGTTGAATATGAATGATTAATGAATTAATTAGTAGGTTGTTTTAGCCTGCATAATTCGGATATGTTGGGTTTAATTTTTGATAGCTGGAGACGTACCTCCGATTCAACATCCAGACAGTTTCGGTATTTAGTTATGGTCACATGGACAAGACGTAGCAAATGGAAGAGAACAAGTTTTACTTTTCCAACGAGCGTTGAAATTTTTTGTTTTCCAGTCGGAGTCTAAAATGGGGGTAAGTATCGGATTCGAAAGTAGATTTCAAGGTGGATTCGGAAATAATGTCTATCAAAATTCGTATTCACCTGAAGATAGACTGGTTGGCTTTGTCGAAATTGAAAACGGTTTGACCACCCATTCCATGGTATTGGAGCATTGTATCTCGGGCTGTTGGGAAGTAGTGCTCAAAGGACATCTCCAAACTTCGAAGATTTCTCATATTTCATCGATCAAGTGCCATTCATAGCTCCAGTTTTTTTCTTTTAAAAAAATCACTCTACCTCTTCCTTCTCAACAGATTAAACCCAAAACTAGATTTTTCTTTTGAAGGCGCTATCTTTGTCATTAGCATCGAAAGTTGTTATACTCTTCCCTTCAAGAGAAAGACATCTCATTCATTTTAATGGAAATAGTTGATAAATACGACGCAATGCCTTTTTTATCATTAAAACATCGGCCAATTTGAAATGTAATAGAGATAAAACTTCAGAACGTAATTTCTGTAATAGTGAAAGTGCTTTCGCACAACACAGCCACCTGACTTCCGTACAGTGAAGCTGGGAATGAGGAATCCTTCCCATATCGTCACGTAGTATTGTGAAAAGTCTTGACTTCAATGGCCGCGACTTGATATATTTAATAATTGGAACAGACACATCGAAAATTTTCTTAAAAGAGACTGGCATTTGTTTCATATCTAAAGCATGTCTGTGAAAAACACGATGTTTGCTGCTGCAAAAAAAAACTTCCCTTTTCAGTACTCATTAATATTTTTTTTAAATCTTATTCATTCATTAATACTTCTCAAAGTTCGCTGTCGACCCCTAGTTTTGGTCGGGGAAGCCCCCCACGAGACCAATACTGGTGCGGTGCCATAAAGAAGTCGACTCCTTCTAACCTCAACCTTAACCTTACCTAACATACAACAAGAAGCAAAAATGGTGAACTTATTTTACTTGAAAATACAGAGAATTTCGAATTAGGCACTACGTATATGGGGAATATGCGTTGGAATTTGCAAACCATGCAAAGATCCCAGAATACTGATCGTGGTTGTTCTTCCATCAGAATCTGGATGTACCGCTTTCCATCCACACAATCCAGCTACTTTACATTGCAGTCAGAGGATTGAGCACTTTGAATTGGTACAGTAAAACCAAATAGATGTGCTTTAGTGATGATGATTTTTAATGTTACTAGTTTGCTAAGAATTTAGGGTTGTTAGGAAGTTTCAGACCACCTCTGTGAAACATCCTAACAATCCTAAATTGTCCAACACCTCCACAACAGCCCTATAACATTCTGATTCCAGTTTGCTAAATAAAACTATGGAAGGTTTGGTTGGGGTGGTGTTGGGTTAGACCTTCAGTCCATTGCATAATCCCACTATAATCCCACCAACATCTGATAGAAGAGGCTGTCTGTTTTCCTTTTTTTTACTTATATCAAAATAAATTTAAGAAATATCGAACATCGTCAGGACGGAGATTAAAAAATCGGGTGCATGAAAACATACGAAACACTGACTTCACGACTTCTGTATGAAAAGTGTAAAGTTTTAGACTTTCACCTAAGAACTAAAAATGTCATCATAGGTAAAAAATTTCATTAATTAAAACAAAATTCATAGGGAAAGACCGTTTAAAATGAAATGTCGAGATGAAATCCCCGAAAATGGGAGCAAAATGTTCACCTCCGATGCCAGTGTTGACTTTTTGAGGGAAGTCGTCATCCTCAAAGATTTTCTTCAGAGTGAAGGCCTCGATGGGAGGCGCCGAGGGCACGTCTCGGAACTTGCTCATTTCAAAAGGTTGGCCGGGCTTTCGTCCACTCACTGAGCCCGGTGTCCCTGCGGCCTGCTCTGCAAACCTTTCGACGGTGGGGTGCCGGCGGTGCCAACTGCCAACGCAGTCGACATTTCCCCACTGGCATGGAGATTTTTCCCATTCGTCTCAAATGTGGCTAACACCACCAAAAACCATCGTCAAAAATTGTCTCGGATTTCGGTTACAATGGAACTAAGAAATTTCCTTATTGGAATTGTCCAAAAGATACAAACACTTCTAACATTTTTGGTCATTTCTGATAATCCATCTGCCATACCAAAGGTTCATCACCCCCAGGCCTCAAGAAGAAATCATATAACTCATAGAAATGTTAAATGGTGGAATGAGTGTGTTGTTCAATCTTTTTAAAAAGATAGTTCCGACTGTTTTTTTTTTTTTTTTTCCGATTTGATATACCAAGTTTTGTTTAATTACTTCAGCACATTTATATTTTATATTTGCATTTATGTTACAACATTCTACCGATGAACCAAGAGATAGTAGTTTTTTGTATCTAATTTTGTTTTTGGGACAAATTTTAAGCCTTTATCTAATAGATAAATAGATAATAGATAATTCTTTTTTATTTAGTTCCATGTGTGTTGTTTATAACTCTTGAGTAAAATTTAATTGGAGATTTTGGTCTTTATAAGTATTTTTATTTTTAAGTGTACCATACTCGTTTTTAATTTTTTTTTCCAATAAACTGTTTTTATCAATAATAAATTTAACTTTTGATCGCGTATCATAATCAAATTTATCCCATTTTACCAGAGACAATAATGATGCAAGCCTAATGTGTACAAGATATTGATAAAAACGTTTTGTATCTCTTTGACTGTACAATTTGTGTAAATCATTAGTTAATTATGATTTTTTAGCGTTTACATTGTAAGAGAGTTGAACAGTTCTTAATATTTAATTTCGCAAGAACGAATTTTGGGGTCAGATTTAATGTCAAACATTGGTAATTGAACCACAATGATTTGGTAATTTTTCACCATGAAAGTTTTAATTTATAATAGTTTTAAGAGTTCTTGTTTACTGGCTGATTTTAAGTGTTATTACTGCTTTGACTAGCGAATTAATAGAAATGATAAATGGTGGAGTGAGTGTGTTGTTCAATCTTTTTTAAAGATCATTCAACTCTTCATATTATTATCAGAATAAAAAAACAAATATCGAACATATTCTAGTGTGGCCCATCTGTATTCCTGATTCTGCAGCGTTGTTCCATGCATAAATATCTGTCTGACTCAACGAGTTAAAGCTTCAAATTCAATCTTCTCTTCTCTCTCAATTTCAGCTGGTGTACTCCAAGGCTCTATTCTTGGGCCTTTACACTTTTCCATATTTCTAAATGACCTTCCATTAATTCTTAATTTCTCCTGATTTCATCTTTATGCTGATGACACACAGCTTTACATTCAATGTCCTACAAGCAACATCTCTGAAACTATCACTCTGCTCAACCGTGATCTTCATTCTCGGTTATTATAACAACCTTCTTTTCAACCCTAACAAACCCGTCCTTATTCCAATAATCCATTAGCACAGATTGCCTATTAACAGCTCCCCTGTTAATTTTTCTCCTAAAGTTAAAAATCTCTGCGTTATTTTTAACTCCAAGCTTACATGGCATGACAATCTGAGGTTTATTATTAAAAGATCTCTCAAGCCTCCATTCTATTCTATGCCTTAGCTTTTTCACTCCACAGAAAACCTAGAGTTCTCCTTATTAAATCCCTTTTAATTCCTTTATTCTCTTACTGTAGTACTATTTTTTCACTTTCCCTAGACTTTCAATCTGCTCATCGCCTTCAAATTGCTTATCATTCCTGCATTTAGATGCTGTTATGATCTTAAACAAAGGAATCATATTTCATCCAATATTAATGCCTTCAGCAACCTTAAAATTCTAAACACTTATAAACTTAAAGTTTTGATGTATGTTTAAAATTAAATCTGAACCAACTTCAAAATTTGCTAAACAAATCTTGACAATCTAGGCATAAATATTCATTTTGTTTATTCTTAAAAACATTCTTTATGAATATTATTGTAAATAACACCATATTAAGTGTAAACATTGTAATGATTAGTATGAATATTATTAGCATGGTGAGTTCTTTTTATGTGTAATTACTTGTAATATATTTAAACATTTTTGTACAAGGATGGTATCCATATATAAATGAGTAAACTGTATATAGAATCAAATTACAAATGATAAAAAAATATATTAGCCAAAATTATCAAATTACAGAACAACTACACTGTTAAATAAACTAATCTCCAACCTATATGAACTGCAAAACGTATAAAATTAAAGTATCTACACAAAAGGAATTAACAAAATGATACGAGAAATCAATTATAAACTTTTTTAGTATGATTTAACTTATTAACTACTACTATTTTGTAAATATACTTTCAAGTTTGGTTTTTTCCATAAAATAAATATATATATTTTTTTAAATTCAATAATAAGTTCAACATGTTTGTCATGTACATTTTCATACAATCGTATGTACAGTAATATGGAACATGCCATGACAAATATTTTAATATCTGTTTGCATATGCTTCAGATTGGAGAAGTGGTAAAACTGGACAAACTATAGAGAAAGAAACTGAGGTGAAAATGTAGTAATAAAAAACCCATTATTGACATTTTATTGCACTTAAATTTTATTATTTTGTGTTTAAAAAGTTTAAATATAAAAATATTTGCATATAATCAGGAAAAAATGTGATTGGTGAGCCATCCGTTACATAAAGATCTTCATAGTTATCACATCAGTCAATACAAAATTAACAAATCATATCAGTGTTATGCAAATTTATACCTGTCTAAAAGTGTTTTATCGGTCAGCCTGTCGTACAAATCGTTGTCTTTTTCGATCGCTGGCACATATTCCAGTATAAGGGAATCCCCATCCATAATAACACCGATTTGTATGAGCTCGCTTATTGTATCTCCTGTCAAGCCCGGCACTGGCATCCCTTCCAAGTCGAAGATGCGCAGCTTGGGCTCTTCGAGATTGTCGTAACCGTCTCTGACCCTGAACTTTTTTGCAAACATTTCTATCGATTTTCCTAGGGTCCAGTGCTTTGAGACGAAGAAATTGCGGTGTTGACTTATTGTGTTAGTGAGGATGGGTGGAGCAACTGAAAAGTAGACTCTGTCCATGGTCGGGACGTGGTTGTCACCAACTGCCGTTGATTTAATCTTCATCAGTTTGATTTTGTTTGCCAGAGCTCTGTTCTTTGCCGTTTTCAGCCTCTCTTGAACCTAGTCGTAAAAAAAGAAGTGATTTCTTAGCAAAAAAAAAGGTTAAAGCAGGAAAACTATAGCCTGGCAAATGAAATTACTCAAATTAATCAAATGGTAATTTTTTTTATAGCTCAAATTAATTAAATGGTAACCAACCTAGTAACTAGAAGTCCATGCGGTTTTTCATTCGTTATTGTTTTCATATCGTTAAACAACATTTCTATTTATATTAGAGGATTAGGTGTTCACATCATAATACTTTTTTTTTCTTTTTTTTAATGGCTTTATGTTCTGAGCATATTAGCCAATGACAATGTTATTATGTGTATTCGTTTAGGGGGGGGGGAAGGGTAGCATGAAAAAAAGGCCAGAGGTGACTGTGGGAATTGAACCCACGACCGCGGGATCTATGAGCCGAGAAAAAATGTCTTGAAAATTATAATTACTGTAATTTTTTTTTTCTTTCTCTAGCTTCAAAGCAGGTAATTCATGCATGCTTATTGTATCTAGTACACCTGGTACTAAAATGGACAAGTCATCTTGTAAAATTTTACTGTGAACAGTGATAGAGTAGTGAGCACGCGCTGTTTAAATGTGATTCAAAATGTTTAAAAAAGTACTCCAAAGCATCACCTTTGGTTAGTGAATATTTGGTGTTCGGGTCAATATATATATATATATATTACACAGGGCGGGCGACCAGGACCCGAGGGGTTAAAAGCCTGAGTAGGCCCGTACCCCATCCCTAAAAGGTCCGGGACCTGGTCGGCTCACGAGTCCTGCATAAACCTATTGGACCTATTCACAAACCCCAGGATTGTGGACCATTTTATCCTGGGGAGTGTTTTGGTTATGTCCTCTCCTTTGAAAGTATTGAATCTTTCCCTAGCATACCTATCGCATTCTGCGAGGTAGTGTCGGGCCGTTTCTTCTTTTGTTTCGCAGAAGCGGCAGAAGGGGTCTGGTAGAGTACCCATTATGAAGAGGTGTCTTCTCAAGGGGCAATGGCCCATTAGGATACCTATCAGCCTCCTTATTCCCCTCCTAGAGTTAGAGAATAGCCATTTCGATTCTTTAGGTTTGATTTCCTTCAGAAACTCCTTCGACATATTCCATTCCTTAAGGAATTGTTTCATGCCCCAGCTACCTATACTCTCTTTTGCTGTGCTTAAAGAGTGGGGTAATACCGGTTGTGGTCCGACGAACTCAGTATTTGATCCTTCCTTGGCCAGGCTGTCCACCTCCTCATTACCATAGTGCCCCTTATGAGCAGGTATCCATATGAGGGTTACCCTATTCTCATACCTGGTGATAGTCCTATTAATGAGTTCAACGGTTTCCTCTACCAGTCTAGATGTTGATAGTTCTTTTTGTAATGATTTTAGACTGGCCTGACTGTCGGAAAAAATTTTAATATCTTTTCCCTTAATCTTGTTATCCATCAGTGTTCTACAGCAAACATTAATGGCCCAGACCTCTGCCTGAAAGACCGAGGTGTTATTACCAAGAGGATAGGAGATGCTGATCCCTAATTTAGGTATGTGTATTCCAGCACCACTTCCCTTATCCTTAATGAGTGAGCCATCGGTGAAGCAATCTAGACTACGATGGTCATCATCAGACCTATAGTTATAGTCACAGGGAGTAACTACCTGAAAGTTCTTTTTCCCTAAAGGTGTTTTCACCTTTTTATCGCTTACACCCAGTAGTTGGTTGTTGACCTTACTCAATAAATGTTCGGGTCAATGGTTCAGGGTCATTCGGTGACAATGGTAGGACCTCCTGGTGTACCACTTTTCATCGCATATGATACCCTGATCCAAAAAATGTCTTTACTTTGTGCTGTGAAAGGAATGTTTAGATGGAGGAACCCATTCGCTCAGCTGCTACAACTTCCCAAAAAGCTAGAGCATCTTTTATGTTGAACCACAGCAAGAGCAAGCTCCTGCATGTCAACTTAAGTCCAATAGCTTCCCTCAATTCATTGTCATTAAAGGAAAAAAGTCTACGAGACCTTGGAATTCATCTTCAATCTCTCCATTCCCAGAAACAAACTTTATTAAATAAAATATTTTCTAATTTAAGTAAATTGTTCAAGATGTGTGATGTAAAACTCTTATCCTGTTATGCAAATAGACATGTTGATTAATTTATTATTATTATTATTATTATTATTATTATTATTATTATTATTATTATTATTATTGGTTATATATACCAGGAACAGGAGGAGTCGCTCCTCCCGTGCACTGCAGTTTGACAGCTTATTGTACTCTTTCCTGGTTCAATTTTGGGAGCTCGTAAAAAACACATGTACAAATTGAGCTCCCGGTGTGCTGGCGTTCTTACATCAAAGAAACTCATTTTTGAAGGGCATCAGGATCAAATTCATGGTATCTGAGACCCGATCCCGTCGGATCTTCCATTTATGAGTGTTGGGTCAACTTTCATTGTGATCATCACTCCCCTTAAGTGTTAGAAAAATTCAGAAACGATGGTGGGAATTAAACCCACGACTGCAGTATCTACTAGCCAAGAGTCAGATGCTTTATCCATTTGGCTAGCACAGTTCCCTAATTAACAGTTTTAAAACAATAACAAATGGAAAACTACACGGACTTTTCTGGTTACCTGGTAAGTGCATTATTTAATTATGAATAAGACAATTTGCAGGGTTTTTTTACAGCACGACACGTGATTTTTTCAAATTGGGTACATTGAAAAACATTTACTTTTCTATCGGTTTCTGCCTTGGCAAGTCTGAACTGCTCCCTCGGTGCCCTGTACTTGTCGCGCTTTTCCTGGGAAGGTGTCTTATCAAGGCAGCCGTGGTGCCTGTGCGAAAGGCAGAAGTGAAGGCGACATACGACACATGGCATCTCAATCGGGTCTCTTATCCGACAGCCGCTACTATTGCACGGATACATCGGAATCTTCTCCAACACCTGAACAATAAAATCATCAGCGTGTACGTAGAACGTCTAACGTCAAAACCCACCTCCTTATCTATGGCGAGGTCCTCTAGCTGAGGCAAGCACCTATGCTTCTCTGGCATGGAGTGATCTTTACAGAACACCATGTTACAGATTCCGCACGGGAAGGGCAAAAAATCGAGTAGATTGCACCCTTCATGAGAGCAGTGGGCACCCGTTTTTGGAAATTCCATCTCACTAAAAAAGACCTCCAGGACCCGATCGGACAGGACCTGGACATGTCACTTTAAAGGAAACCTCGTTAATCTACAGCAACTCCAAGGTTTCCCATTTTTTATAAATTTCCCTTTTTCACTCTATCTACTAGTGAAAATTCAAAAATAAAATATATTGCCTAGATATTAATTATGTTCCTGAAACAAAAGTACCTGATGCAATAAAATTCCCTGGGACAAATAAGATAGGACTGATTTCCCTACATTGTCATATCATTCCTGTTGGTGTAACAGGTAATGCAATTCACCGGGGAAGGTTGAAAACAAATTGAATTTTTTTAAATGTTTAGGTGCTTTTTTTCAAAACGCTAGTCACATGGTAAAACATTAAAGATATTTCTTTAAACATGTCTTATCTTTAATGTTTATGTTTTTGTGTGTGTCGGTCTGATTTTCTCATCGTTTTCTTTTTTCCATAACTTCATCTCTTTGAATGTGTAAACTTTGATGCAAGTTGTTCCATCAAAGGCCGGTTCATCTGTACTCCGATTTTACCCGTACTTCCTGGTCCGCCTGGTCTCGCTGCGTAGGTCAGACACGCGGCTATTTTGACAGTTTCGTTGGTTTTCTCTTTCTTGATTCTTTTTATTGTTGGATGTTTTTCAGAATTGTTTGGGTTTGTATAAACTTATTTTCTCTTTGATCGTTTTAACTTCTGCACTGGATTGTAATTTGGGATTTTCATTTCGTTCATGGTACTGTTATTATTAAAAGTTTAACTGTGTTGATCCAGCATTGGGTCTGTTAAGATTGGTGGGTAATTTTTTGTACTGTAATGTAGAGCAATAGGAAGGTATTTTTCTAGGAAACAACATTAGTATGTTAAACATGAACTCAATGGATGGCTTTATCTGCACAGTTGGTCGTGAGTCAGCAATATCTCAACCTCCTAGGGGGATCAGCAGGGTAGGTAAGACATCTTTCAAGAAAACTGCAGTAGCCGAGTGGTTAAGGCATCAGACTCTCAGGTAGTAAATCCCGTGCGGTCATGGATTCAATTCCCACTGTTGCCTCTGTATGTTTTTCTGATGCCTAGGGGGAGCGGTAGCCACAATTGAAAGAAGTTGATACAGCACTCATCATTGGATGGTCTGGTGCGGGATTAGATCTCAGCGACCCTTAATTTGGTTCAAATTCATATGTTTTTGCGAGCCCCCAAAAAATGGAGCCAGGAATAAAGTACAATAAGCTACAGCTATATAGCTGCACTTCTCAAGGGGAACTCCTCCAGTTCCTGGTTTACATTAACAAAAAGCTCTTTCAGAGGTGGTTTAGTTGAGTCATCTAAGTTGCCTGGTTGACTCTCAACTAAACCCTGTGAAGACTTTCTTGGCAGGTTTCACCCTTGTGGAATCAAACAGGAGGTCAGTACGATGTTAGAATGCAAGTTACCAAGAGAACTTCTTGTCCTTGCTCTTCTGAAAGAACAGAAGCAAAAGAGGAGAAAACCCTCTTGAAAAAAGTGTGGGTTCATCCATTGTAACAAAATTGGGAAACGGCACTTCCCTTCAAGCATCACTCCTTTTAATTTTTGTCTTTATTCTCCTCACACTTCATGTCCCATATCACAAGACTAATTCAAATTTCTTTAATGAACTGTTCTGCATGCTGTAATTTCAATGCTTCCAATGGTGCTTGTTGTTTCAACTAGGCGACTGGTTTGAAGGACAATTGACAAAGGCGCCTTTTGTGTTGAGACACCAATGGGGATGAAAACATGAGAGTCACAGGCCACTCGCCTTTGTAGACTGTGTGAAGGGGTTCAGGTGGTTCCCAATCATTTGCTACCTTGCTACATACCTTAACCTCTGTTCTACTAGTTCAATCAACTTGCCACCTCGCCTGAAAGAGGCTTAAGAGTGGAAACGTCACAGACAAGGCTGTATTAAAGTTGATGGTGGATGTTGGTCTGCAAGTCGATGGAGACATGTTGAACCGACAGCAGGTCTGTCTAGTGGCAGTGCTGTTACGACGTGTGTTCGATTCACAGACCAAAATCCATCAATTAATTAACTGTACTATATTTTTTCCCCTTCAATGTGTTCATTCCATTTTAAAAGCCATTTAAGTTGATTTGCATACTAGGTTGCAATAAATATTTTAAATTTGTCATTTGATAGTAATGATCAAATATTCAACAACTCACATCTTTAGAAACAATTTTACTTCAAAACACTTAATGAGAGGTTTTTTGCATAAATTGGTTTTTAAGTAGAATTATTTTTATAGTTTTTTAAATGGATTTGACTGAGGGAAGCAGAGTGTTTCTAAATGATCCAATTAAGCTGAAAAACTACATAAATAAAGAAGTGAAGGTGTTCACAAAAGGAAACCAAACATTTCAAGGCAGCGTTTACACAATTGACCCAGTAACTGAAAGGTGAGCCTTTTCTAAAATAAATCAAATGGTGTATGTTAACGCCAGTAACGTTTATAGTAATCACATTGCGTCATTTATAAATTTTTGATTTGTTTTGCAGCATTGTGCTTACAAAAAAAGACACAACGGGTTGCGTTTCATTGGACTTAGTGCTCGGCCATGTCATTACGGGCATGGAGATAGTTGGGAACGCCGAGGCTGAGGAGCTGTTCAAGTGTAAAGATACGAGCAAAATTAATGAAGAGGTTAAAAATAATCTAAAATCATGGTTGGAGAGCAACCTCATTCCGATTGAAGACGACGGTGTCAATCTAAAATGTTGCTCAGTGCTGACGATCACACCTCCGTATAGTTGGGAGTCCTGTCTCTGCACCAATGAAATAGTTCTCTGCCGCATTCAACAAATAATAAAAGCTATGCCCGAAAAATTGAATAATTGACAATTTATTAATGATAACACCATTTTGTAAATAAATCGTTATTTAATGTATTTAAATAAATAATTCAAAATAATAAAAAAATCACAAACAATTTGAAACAAAACATTGTTTAAGACTATTTCTTTTGATCCCTGTTGGTCAAATAGTCTTGTACAGTTTGTAAAACTTGCGATATCTTCACCTGCCAAATGGGAAGCTTCTCTTTTAGCTTGATGAGCTTCTTATTTAAATCGTTGGATTCACTCATCGAGGAATTGACTTTCGACGCCTCACCTTCCCCCATCTTCGAGCCTAACTTGCTACCTGTTTCCTTCACAGACGATGCAGCCTCCTTTATAGGTGATGACGCCTGAAACAATGTAATATATTGCAATAGAGTTGAAATTTATTTCCCCCTTGCTGGAAAATGTATGGTGTACGATAGAAACTGAAAGGCTACTGGCTTACAAGTATGAAGTACCTAATTTATATTAACTTTGCAATGATTTTTTGAAAATTTTATAAAAACTCGTTAAAATTACTTTATATAAGGAAAAAATGTATATAATTTAATTTGTTTATCCTATAAACAGAGCCTCTTATTTGTTTAAATTAATTGTTAATATTGAAAGCAACTAGGTTCTGTTTCCATAGATACTCTTGTCAGTGTGGTATAGATAAATCGCTCCTTATTTTCTAGATAGACTGGCTATTGAAAGGTCTTCAAAAACGTTATGGTAATGTTTATTTACAAACGTATGCTACATAGGAAAAGTAAGTGTTATTAAATTTATACTTTTATGATATGTTTGAAAATGAGTTACATATGAATACATAAAAGGATTGTTTCAAAAACATGTAGCCACCTTTTTGTAAAATCAGATTGCCCCGAGAGAAGAATTTAAACTTAAACGATAAAAACTTACTCTTAGCACTGATGACAACATTTCAATTTATAGATTAATAAATTCCTGAAAGTCAAAACATTCCAAAAAAGTGAAAAAATTTTAAATTCCACATGATTTATTTCCACTGGGCCACAAATTTAAACAGGCTTTTATTTAACAACAAAATTTACCATTTTCATACCAGTGCCAAGTGGGAATTTTTTTTATTTTATTCAGATAAAAATAAATATTTCTTTTTTGTAAATTGCATAATTTTTCATGAATTTCAAAAGAGCCACTACTTCAGTGATTGATCATACCATAAAACCATAATTTTAATATTAAAACAATTTTAAATTTTAAAAAAAACTTTAATTTTTAAAAAATTAAACTTCCAGAGCATAGTATACTAACAAAACAATTGAAAGAAAAGATTAGATTGTATTAGTAAAACAGACAAAAATAAGCACTATACCAATTCTTAAAATAAAAGTAAATAAAATTTTGGGGAAAAAAGGCCTGTTTTATTGTATACAGTACTTGGTCAATATCTTGTTTTGTGTATATTAGTGAAAATATTTATTAGAATGAATGTATAGTGTGAGAATGCAAATAGCGGAATGTTTCTTTTTTTGTAAATTGCATAATTTTTCATGAATTTCAAAAGAGCCACTACTTCAGTGATTTGTTCCCCATTGTTCCATAATTATATTAGTTATTTAAGAGAAAAAGGATGTATTTAAGAGTGAGTTGGTTTATATTAGAAACTGCATAGGTTAAGGGCTGAAATGACCTAGCTGTTGTCAGCCCTTGGAGCCTAACTCTCAGCAGCGAGGCAGATAAGTAGATCTGACCCTGACCACCAAAACACCTAGGTGGGTGAGCTTCATAAAATCATAAGCTCAGTTCTGTATATATGTGTATGTATATGCAGAATTGGGCTTTTATATATAAATCAATTACAAAACAGGTTAATTATATAGCTAAACCAATCAAACACCAAGAGTTAAGACAAGTTTTTTTATGTTTATTTTATTTTTTACAGAAATCTAGATGTCATGGAATGTCTCCTACAGATCATAAAGCTATACTTTTGAAACCTGTCTACGTTCTAAATGGGATTTTCTATTTTAAATAATTTCCAATAAAGTAATTGGTAAAATTAAGCGGTTTTTTTTTATTGGTTCTCCCCTGTGGGCCGGGGAAAGAATATGCCCAACGTAGTCCCTGCGGGTCGTAAGAGGCGACTAAAAGGGAGTCTAGTAATTAACTTAGTATTAAAAAGCATTGTGACCACTCTTAATAGATTATAATTTTAATAAAATACCATTAACAAAACATCGCACTAATTTTTCCTTTTGCAAAGGGGTGTTGTTCTAGCGGTAAAAGTCTCTCCTAACTGTCGGCTCCAACCAAAGAAGTCAAGGAGAAAACGGTTCGCTACAGAACCGGTCGACCAACACAAGGTCGAGGTGCTCAAGCTGGAAAAGATCCTAGCTTTCGCCAGGGAGCCGATAGTGCTACAGCGGCCAAACAACCTCGACGACCCGCCTGTTGAGGAAGACGACAAATAAGACAGCGATTTAAAAAACGTCTTGCAAAGAAATTGCAATATTTATTTAATTAAAATTTTATATTGAAAAATTTTAGTTTTATTCACTAGCAATAAGTTATAGGCAAAAGAAAAGAATAGCCAACTAGTCGGACAGCCAGGTGGCACAAAAAGCAACTGCCTCATCAGTGGTAAAAGTCGGAACCCCTTGTTTGGTAGTATACCAGGGCAGAGGGACAAGTAGAAGATGAATTGGCCAAAGAAAGTTCAAAATTCAAATTTGATAAGAAATTTCAAATCAATGCACTATAGACAGGCGGATTGGGTTTCAGTAAATACTGACTATATCTAGCACATAGACAGCTCTAAGTCTGATCCATCATATGAGTTTCATTTAAATTTTCTTCTTGTCACTAAAAGAATAAAAGCACAGGCAAATAAATAAAAAATGAATTTATAAATGAAATAATGGTTAAATAATTTCAAAACAAACTAGGCTCTAAAAATATATTAAAAAATGACCAAAATTACTTCCAATTTGGAAATAAGGTTTTCAAAGGGGCATGGAACTGAGACGATTTATAGCAAAGAATACTCCACATTTATCAGTTATTACTAAAAACATAAAGCAATAAAATAAGAACAGATTGATTTTTGTTTTAAATTTGCATACTCAGAGCAAAACTGGTCAATTCAAAGATTCAATTTTGGTCAAAGAAGATAAGTGAATATTCCAGTAAGTTTTTCGGCCTGACAGGGTGTATAAAGGATTGATTTAAGAAGGTAACTGCCCTTTTAAAAGCAATGTGTGGGTATCGGTGGCCACAACGGTTTAAGCTTTAACCCGGCACTCATCACTGTAAGATAAAGGAGTAAAAAAACAGATTAGTGCAATAAGAAAGTACAATATTACTTCTGGTTGGACACTTCTGGAGGCATAGAGATAAAAGAGGCACAAGGTCTTCTGCACCTTGACCCGAGTAGATCTATTGCACTCCTATGGTTTTTTATAACTCACTGACCAGCTTCAAGTTGTTAATCAACCTCCATAGCCTTGTCAGCGGCTCCTTAGGCCTAGTACATGTTTTCTAACACTCGTTAGTGAAATACTTAAGTTCAAAGTAGAGCATACAAATGGTAATGTACGACTAAGCACAATGCATATTCAAGATTTCCCTCACTGCGTGCATTCAGATCAGTATTTTACCATCTCCTGATCAATGAAATTGAAAAAAAGGTCTGCATTTTAGAACGTTAAGTGTAGCGATTATTATATTTATTACACTTCCCTCATAAATTTAGAGAAGGTTTTACCATCGAGCTGTTCAGCATCACAGCATGATACAGAAGTTCTGGAACTTTTAACTTGTTCTGCAATGTATTTTTAAAAGTTGATACGCTCTTGTTGAGCAATGTCATCATTTTCGATGTTTTATGACGAGTTTTTCTTCTGGCAGTATGGAATCACTTGCAAACAGGTCTTGAAATATTGCCCTTAATTAAGTGCAAAAACATCATCAAGAGTTAATTGACATTCTAAAATAATTGAAAATTTTTGGTTCATAATCATGTAATTTTGGGTAGAGTAACGAACATACATATTTGTGAATCTCTCTTAAAATAGTTGGATCCAATACTTCTTTTATCGCGATATTATTTTATAGTAGCGATAGATACCACAGACAAATGACTTCTTCAACTTCCATAGTAAGATTGTTTTTGTCCAAGCGCTCCATTGGTTCGTCACAAGTGCCTGTTTATGTGCGATTCTACGCCTCTCTAAGCCTAAGTGTAAGAACTTGCTTGTGGTCTTTCCAATTATTAGTAAGAATCTGCAACTGCACATACTTTCACGAAAACATGAAATGCGTTCTGCAATCTCTTCTTCCTGGCAGTATTTGCAGTATTTTTTCCGTCCTTCCATTTATCCTTTTTGAACTCGGCCCACTTTACCAGCTACACAATTCTGTTTGAAACTCAAGAGCACCTCAGAAAGGGGAATAGTGTCACCAAACTTTTTTTTATTGGAAGCGATTTTTTTTTTTTTAATTTATTCTGTAAAAACCACATTATTTGCGTCTTTGTGTATTAAACAACTTATTCAACTTTACCTCCAAATTGAACAAGCATCCTGTGGGTTACACACTTAAAACTCAAAACAGTGCCAGGGCGCAACTCATCATATAATTTTTATTATTTAGGTAAAAGTAAAAAACATTTGCTTTATTTCTACTTACCAGAGAGCTATTTAACACGATAAACAGGGTTCCAAAATGTTCAAGCATAGCACGTAGACGTGTTAAGATAAATAGACAAATATTGGACACGGTACTCAAGGTTGTAAATAGGCCAACTCCTTTTATCCTTATAAAGACAATAAAAAAAATGTCATATTATTTTTTAATAAATAAACTGTTATTTTAAATAAGGAAATGTTTCTCACCGAAGATGCTGTGAAGTCAAAACATGTTTGGGTGAAATTAAACCTGCAAGAGTAGACACACCATAAACAACACATGATAAACTGTTGATCAGTTTAAAAGTAAATTCATTTTCCAGCAGTACAATCAATATATCAAGGCGAGTTAAGTTTTTTCATGCTATCACGTTGAAAGTATCTGCCGTAGAGCTGATGGTAAGTAAATAAAAACTTGTAAACAAATTTTACTTTTTATTTTAATAAAATATTTAGTAACCAACATTCAATATTTACATTTTGTTCACTTTCTTGAATTATAATGACAGCAGGGCACAAATATAAGTTTACTTTGTCACTTTCATGAGACAAGACTAGAAAAACAAAACAAAAACTAGATGAGGTGTTAATAAAATTTAACACAATTTCACTTTTCCAAAAGGAAATTTTAATAGACAGAAAGGTGAGGATTGAAAATTTTTTAATGAAAAGCAAAACTTAAGTTGCTTAGCTTTCAGTTGAATCATTCAACTTGAAAATAGCAATTTTATTTCATATCTTTTTAAAAACCTCAATCAGTATTCGTGATGTAAGTTAATCACTAAAACTGTCAGAGTCTGACACAGGCGTCCTTTTTCGAGTTATGTACTTATGGACTACACTTTTCATTTTTTTGTAGGGCGGTGGTGATGGCAATCTAGGTGAAATAGACGAATAGCTCCTGGAACTGCTGCTAGATCGGCTACTGCTACTGCTTGACGTGCTGCTGGTGCTGGAACTACTACTGTACGACTTGTGACGCCTTTTCCTCCTCGATCTACGATGTGACATTTTTCTAGAAAGCCTTCTTTGGTCTCTATGCTTGCTGTCCGAATCTGACGAGCTATCCGAGTAATTTACCACTTGGTGTGACATCGGGTGAGAGTGCTTACTGTAATCAATTAATTAATAACAAAAATGTAATGAGGAGTGTACAACCGAAGCTTACATCTGATAAGAAGTAGATGGTTGTGCATTGAGATAAATGTCATTTTCCGCTGCCTGTTGGAGCTTTGAAGATGTTTTTGGATACTTCAATAACTTTGATTGGTTTTCCTCACTATTTTTATAAAGTTTTTCCGACCTAGCTGGTGAAGGTTTTTTCCTATTTATATCACTACCGTCACTTTCCATGTCTGTCGAATCAATTATTACAATCTACAACATAATGCAAATGAATTAATTTTCATTAACTTAATTGAATATGTTGAATTATTCTTTTCTTTATTTTATAAAATGAGTGTTAGTGATAAAAATTATCATTGATGTCATTTTTGTGTTGGAAGGTTTTATTTACCTCAGGTTCTCGTAAATGCCTTGGAGGCAATTCCGCAATGATTTGGGCATCGCTGTCACTGTCGTCTAAAGTTGTATCCTGCTCTTTTTTATTCCAAATAATGGCTGTTTCTGAATCTGAATCATCTGATATAACGATCACCATTTCCGCTGTGTGTGCGGCATGATGCATACGGTTCTCAAGAGTTTGGGCACGTGCTCTGGCATATGCATTAGAAGCAAACTAGAAAATATAAATTCAGATATGATCAATAAAATAATAATAATAATAATAAATTAGATAAAAACAATACCTCAGCGGCTCGTGAACGTCCTGAAGGATATTCATTAAACACTTCAATACTATCATCAGCCCCATGACGAGATGATTCAATGTCAGACTCATCCGAAGGTACTACTATCACCTCTATCGGAGAACTTGGTTGTTGGGTGGTAGGAGTTGAAGTAAAATGTGCCTGCTGGCTTGTTCTATTTGATCCATAATTCTACAAAAATATTTATAAACCAACACATAAAATATAATACAAATGTTGTTTTAAAACAAACCTCATTGTCAGAGTCTTCGCTGAGGTTCAGGAAATCCCTAAATGGTCTAGGAATTACACGCCTTCTCACAGGTGCAAAAGGTGGCGAAGCGTACACAGCATTGAAGTCATAAGCATACATGTCATTTTCTGGCGCAATGGCAAAATTGTAAAATTCGTGAAGGAAATGGTCAGTCCTTGAGCCTAAGTAGGAAGTGACTAACCTTCTGAATGTCCTGCATAAAAAAAAAATATTAAAAAATATTGATGTGTCACATTTCAATTTATTTCATAGGGACAATATTGTGATTTAGATTTCATGATTAGGCCTAGAGTAAAAAATAAAAGAGGATCTGGACAATGAGGGTAGAGACAGTCAAGTCTAGAAGTGAATGAGTCTATTCTGTGTAGATGAGAGACAAAAAGAAGTATGCGATCCTCAAAAGAATTTAAAAAGTGTTGGATTCCCTAAGATAGAGTGCTTCGGTCAACAGCGGATTGTCTGCAAACAGTGAGTACACATCCACCCTTGTTCCAAACGGCTTGCATGAAATTACTGTTTATTTAAATTTGAAAATTTTTAATTGTTTGTTTAAAGTTTAAAAGGGAATTAATTGAATTTAATTATTTTCTTATGTAATCCAAGACCTCTGGGGCTATGTTTCTAATTAAAAAGGGTTCAGAGTTGGGCACGTCTTGTTGAATCGAGAACAGACCGTGACATATGTATAATTTTTTTTTTTTTTAATTAAGCCAACATTCACACCTTTACAAGTTACAGTTCAACAACAATAAGCACAACAGTTGGCTTTATCTCAATTTATTTTTGATTTTTAAACATATCATCAATCAAAATCTTGCAATAAAAACGTCTTTCCTCAAATTTTATACTTTATTCGTATTTGTATTATAACAATAGTAAGTAGTCAATCAATATAGTAAATAATTATAACATTTAATTTTTTCTAATTTTAATATTTGTAATTAATGATATATTAATATTTATAATAATTTTAGTATGTTTAATTCTCTAATTTCTTGGATAATTGAATTCCTGGGTAATCGAACCCCAGGTAATGGAGGTTTAACTGTAAATAAAATCTGAATCTGTGTTAAAAAAAATTTTAATTATCTACAAATGCCTTACTACCTCTTAATAACAATTATTTATATTTTTACTAACTATTTATGATTAATTTAAAAAAATATACCAAACAAAACACCATAAGGGGGCCAAAGGCCAAAAGCAAAGAAATTCCGTTGACATACTACACACATACTACATACTAATAAAATATTAAATATTGTGGTGTATTCTAGTTTTGTGAAAAGCTAAAAGTTAATTTAGAAATGTATGTAATTACTTAAATAAACTATGTAAATAAAATAAATCTAACTATAAGACCATCCCTTGAGTATGAAGTATGGTTATAATTTGATGTTTTTTTTTTTTTTTTTTAATTTTGGTCCAATAAGTATGAAGGAAATGCAAGAATACACCAATAGGAAAAAAATCTAAAAAAGCAAAAGTGAGAAATCTTTGGAATATTTTTATTAATTAACAAATTTTGCCATTAACTTTTATCCTTTCGTAAAGCCCAAATACACCATAATATTTAACTATTATTACAGGCAGATTGAGAGAGCTGTGAGCAGTGTCAGCTTTGTAAACACAATTTTTGATAATTTTTACTTTTTTTTGCTCCCGGTCAGAACACTTGGTCATGTGACTACTATTTTTTGACTTAGTATCACTAAAAAAGTTTCACTGGAATCAGTGACCCCATGATTGTAGCCACCTTTGTTAGTAAAAATTGATTATGCAGAAATTATAAGATATGTGTGCGCATGCATCAGTTGATAAATTACTTACGAGCTAGTGATGGGATATAAGTTTATGAGGCGCATTATGTCACTGCATACATTGTGAGTCGGCATACTAACATCGAGTAGAATACTGAGCTCCCTAGTAAGCCATGGAATAAGTCTATGTGTCTGGGCCGGATTGTTCCTGAAAGAGGTTCACATTAAGACAATTAAATCGGTAGATAAAATGTCATATATACCTGTAAAACTCAGGGGAACTTTCCCTACGCCTATTGCTGCTTGAAGGCCTTACCCATAGGCCTTGACGGTAGACGGCTCTCCTGAACTCAGGTGTTGTGGGAGGTGAAGTGAAATGGGGTAGTCCCATCTGCTGGAAGATAGTCGGATCGACAGACCCATGTTGCGACCATAAGAACAACAAGTGTTCTCGATCCCTATCAGAAGAGAACAAAGAAATAAAAATATCCCTTACTAGAAGCGTTAATTATTTACCGTAGGAGTCCCTGTTGAATGGCAAAGTTAATGAAGAAGTGAGACGAATCGAGAGGAATCCGTGGTTCCAGGCGATGTTCATCGTAGTCACTTATAGATCGAATATTATGAATGATAGAGGTGAACTGCTGTTTGCACAATGGACACTCGGGTTTTATCTTTGAAAAAATAAAATAAAATAATAATAATAACCAACCAGTTTTATCCATTTGGGCACAAAATTAGAAAATTACCTTCGCCCATTCTTTAAGACAATTGAAACAAAATGGATGCAAACACGAGTTGGTGAATGACTTATTAATTAAGTCACCGAGGCAAATCGGGCAGTTACTGTCAGGAGAATTCGGCCTTTCATGCTCAGATTTTATGCGGTTCGCTTTATACAGTTTCCTCTCGGAGGACGGTGCTTCTGTTGAAGCTGGATTTTGAGGTCCATCACCATCCTCATTTTTTATGCTTGTAGAAGCAATTTCATTCATTGTCAACAGATAACATCTAGAAAAAAAATTTCATAATCAATATCCTGAGGAAAAAAAGTAAGATAGTTAACTTTCTTGTTAAATCCAGCTGATTGTTCTTTCTTACGCATTTTATTATAAAAATCTTTTTTATCTCAAAGGAAATATTACAAAAAATGCAAGTAGTAAATTAAACAAAGTAAATATTCTTTTTGTCTAAAGTCTGGTTGAGATGAAAAAGTTAGTGACACGAACAGAATTCGAACCTACGACCTTTGGCTCATACGCCGCTGCTCAAACCACTTGAGCTATCGTGACTTCGATCCACTCGGACACCAACTCCTCTGACACTGATTTTTTCGTCTCAACCAAGACCTTAGATAAAAAGAATAAATAATTGAATTAATTAATATGGTCAATTATGACCGGTAAACATATATGGATTAAAACAAAATTATAAATGATGTTTTATTTGACTATGTATAATTGTTGTGATTTCCTTTGTGAAATAAAAAATAAAATAATAAAAAAATTTAAAAAAAAAAGCCTTAAAAATCAAGACTGATAGATTTTTATCAGTGACTATTATTGGCAGACCAAAAAGATCAAAAATAACCAAGCGACTAAATATTTGCCTACATCTATCACCGAACCATACAAAATGTTAAAAAATCTCTGAAGAAAAAATTAAACCTGTAGATGGTGTGAATCTGTGAGTTATAATAATTTATAAGGCATTAAAAAAAAAAAAAAAAAAAATGACATATTATACATGGTGGGTCAATTTGAGATGCACCAAAAAAGATTTAATTAAAAAAAAGCTTTTAGTAGTTGTACCTCAACACACAATTTCACAATTTTCCAAATATACGTTTTTTTTTTTTTTTTTTTTTTTTTTTTTTTTTTTTTTTTTTTTTTTTTTTTGAGAGAGAGAGAGAGAGAGAGAGAGAGAGAGAGAGAGAGAGAGAGAGATTCTAGTAGTCAATAAGTTAAAATTTTCTTTAGAGTTATGAGCTAGAATTTAAAATACGAGCTTGCTATGGTGATAACCACCACATCTCTGATTCCAGCTCACTTGCTTGTTCAGTTTTCATGTACCTCATGGTGGAAGCATTTCTGTCATGTTTCGTTTTAATTTTATGTTTTTCTGTTTGGTTTTTATTCGTCTAAAGTTATTTAACTTAAAACCCTGATACTAAAAATCAAATTAATCATGAGAATACCAATTGTTAATATGTTTTATGAAGTTATTCATAAAACATAATTGTTTTTTTGATTATATGTTATATAAAAAACATATTATCAATTAATACACAATTTTTTTGAAATGAGAAATTGTGTATTATAAATTGAGAATCATGAGAATATTTCTCTATTACCATGCTTTTAAATGCATTTTAAACTTCGAATTATTAAAAATGAAAATCACTAAAAAAAAAAAATTTTAAAAAGTAAAACAACAAATATTATTTTCATACTTAATGTTAACGTTGGGGGTCATGGACAAGGGATCAAACCACTACAATACATTTTTCATTCTGTAAACAATTAAAATTCCATGGGTTCTACCAGGATTTGAACCCACTCAGCCAACAAGGTCCCGATAAATGAAAACATACTTTGAGAAGCAGCAGAAGCACAGTAGAGTCAATTTGGAACACAACATAAGCTTTTTTTCTATAGGTGACCTACCCTGTTTATTACTCTTGTTTGTTCATTTCCTATATATATTATTATAATTAAAGGACATTTTTAATAGTTATAAGTAGATATAGACTTGTAAATAATATTTCCCAATTTACTGACCACTTTTTGTCATAGAAAATGGCTTTGTGCTGAGTTTGTGAACAAGGGAGACCACTTTACAATAATTTTTTTCTTCAAATTAATTTCATATAAAATTTCAAGGGTACTATCAAGATTAAAAACTTGAACTGCTAACACAAAATAACAGGAGAGAAAAAACGATTGGATGCACTACTTCAGCCACTAATTTTCTTATTTTCACTACCTAGAATGCAAAATTAGTATTTAAAATTTTTATTTGTAACTTTTTTAAGCCCTAACTTGTCAAATTGATTTTTTATCGTTTAAAACTTTTTGTTTGAAGAATTGATTAGTCAAAGATTTATAAAGAGCTCATAAGGTTGTCCCTCTTTGCCTATTTGGATTCATTTCCTTCTGTTCACAATCTGGCCTCTTGCTCTCTCAAACTTTTGCCAAATTGTGAATTTTTCTGGCAAATCATTCGGCCACAATATCTTAGTCGCAATGAGAATACCCTACATCCATCTTCCTCTCACCCCTGATCTTCCCAACCCTCTACCCGATTGTCTTTCTCATTTTTCATTCTTGTCGTTCTCAGTTTTACTTTTAAATCGTTCACATTCTTTTTTTGTCCTTATTTATACATATATTTTTTCAATTCTGTACTCATGTTTATGTATGTACATATGTGTACAGAGTTGTATAAATCAGTATTTTTTTATTTATTTTTTATTATTAGGTTTCAATGTACATAATAAATTATTTTTGTGGAAAAATATTTTTCCAATTAAATACTTCTTTTTAGTTGCACCCTCTAATCAGCCCCGAAAAGTTTACATACCATTCACTCAAATGGAATGATGGAGTAATCGATATTCCTCCATCACTCTTTGCATGTATAACTGATTAAATTGAGGGTCAGTCAATGGAGTACTCAATATTCCACCATCAGCCCTCTTACCCTGCACATTTATGCTTATAAGTACATTCACTCTCAATATACTCAAATGGGAATACAAAATGACATCTAACAGTACTATATATAATAAAAGAGCCCACTTTCCTCCAAAAACCGGACCTAAATAATCACTGCACTCAAACACAATTCTCATATCGGGTGCCATTCTTACAAGCTCTCCTATATGGAACCAAGGAATGACACTTCAATTAAGTGGGGACACATTCTTCCTACATGCCAGACACTTGGGGACTTTGTCCTAAAAATAAATCTTGTCAACCCCAAATGGCCTATTCTCAATCAGGTGAGGATAAACCCTCTTCTGAGATTCAGATCCTCCAAGGGCCACCCATCGGCTATGCTATTTCCATTTCATTTCTATATAATCTACCCATTATAACATTTCATACTCAGTTGACATTTTTTTCTCCCTCTCTGTCAAATTACATTAACAGGAAATACTTTATTGTCAGATAGTATACAAAGAGCAAGATCCGCCAACAGCCCTTCTCTTAGTTATCAAAGAGTATGGATTCATGTACATTTTTTGTCATTCTGTCTTGGCATCTTGAGCTTGATCTGACCTGCGTCAATGAACGACTTCATCATCATCTCAAACGGTCCCATCGGTTTTGTGAAAAACGTGCCGCAGAGCATCATATCCATTGGCTTCAAAGGTTTCTTGCCTTCATGATGGTCTTGTTTCACCTCCTGGGACAAGTATCTCAAATGAAACATCCTTTCCATGTGAAAATCCATGAGGTAGTCTGATTCAACCCAACTGAATTCCTACGTTTATCTTACAAATAAATAAATATATATTTTTTATCCTTCTCTTCAACAATAACTACCTACTTCACTAAAAGAAAAAAAGAAAAATGCTGTTTTATTTATTAATATTTTATTGGGTGCCTTATGTTCAATCACATGGGATTAATGCTTTGACAAAATTTTGCATGAATTAATTGTCGCAACATTTTTTTCAAATCACAAAAAAACAAAACGACATAATAGTTGAAATTGAAACACCATGAAAAATTAACAGTTGTCAAGATTAACAGGTGTTGCACGTCACATCTATTTTATCTGTTCATTTACTAAGGCATTAAATCAATTTGGATTTATTGGCTTTTATTTCAATTTCAACCTTTTTTTTTTTAATATCACAACAGCAAATCTCAAATGTACAAAACTGCGACAAGAATGTGAGATATTTTTTTGTCTGCCTATCTGTCGATCCCAATGATCCTCATCCACCGGTAAAAACGGCAAAATGCTGAAATCCAGACTTAGCAGACAAAACCAGCAAGAATATACAGACTAGGAGTAGAAATTACTATCCTTCTGAGACAAAATGAGCAACATACTCTACCCGTCTTTCTAATAAAAAAGAAATCTACAAATCAGATTAAGCCAGTCCCATCTTAGCATAAGTTGTTAAAATAAATTAAAAGTAGTTGTAAGGCATGTTGGACGTATGATGTCTGAAGGGTCTCTCATCCGGTAGGTAACAAACAGACGTTTCCCTAAAACCTGGAAATCATAGGCACACAATAGATCTACTAAATAACAGTGAGATAGTTGTGGGCACAGTTCATCTAACTGTGGGACACTATAAATACGGGGGCCATGAGCACTGTACACTCTTTGCCAGATGTCCATCTACATGGACCAGGAGGCTATGGAAACTACTGACAATTATTATTACAAGTCATTACGTGGCAACCTTTGCAAGAAAGAAGTTGATCTATCCCAGGAGTTTGGGCTTTTTTCTTTCCTTCCCTACTCTAGTTGGGAAACAGCATAAAAGGAAAGCAGTCAGTCAACTCGAAGACTCATCACTGTCAAGCCGGGGACTTGGTCAGATCAATAAGCAACTACACTACATCTGGGACTTAGCCAGGAAGGACTAGCTATTGTGGGTTTTTTTCTAAAGAAATATCATATTTAAAACAGGCCAATGTAACAATAAATTAATTAAGGTTTTAAGTTGAGATAAATAGATAGAAATAGATAACTGAATGTGATTAATTGGTCAAGCGGACCACGAAAAATAGTGAATGTAACAATAAATGTTTGTGAATATAGAAGAAGAAGAAGAAAAATAACTTTATTCTGGGACTGGTGTCCCCTAAGAATAATTTACATGAAATAAATAAAGGAAGTTCCTTCTATGAAGTTAAAAGTAAAAAAAGATAGAAATCTTGACACAATGTATACCAATAAGGCAGGACAGAAGAAAAAAATTACCAGAATATTAATATTAACAAAAATAACAAATGTTAATGTGAGGTCTCTGCTTGGAGGGAGAGGTGATTATACATGTGGGATTTAAAGGAGGAAAAGGGGCAGCATGACGAATAGAAAGAGGAAGGGAGTTCCAGAGTTTAGGGGCTCGGATCAGAAAGGATCTTTCGAAGGTATGGGTTGTATGTGCGGAAGGATAAGGTCGATTGGGGATGAGCGGGTCTTACGAGTGAGATGAGAGGAGTTGAATTGGAGGGATTGGATGATGTAAGGAGGACGAGTGTGGATGGACTGGAAAAGAAAGCAACCTAGGATAATATAACTTTGGTTTAGTGAATTTCTGGAACCCTACTTTCCCCTTTACAAAAATTAGTTGTTAATGTTCTCTGCATAGAGACAGCCCACTTTCAAGACTTATATTATATAAAAGCATACTCAATACAGAGGAAATAAAAATCAACCAACAAAATATAGCATAAATATTAAAAAAACCTACTTTCAAAATAATGTAAAAAGCAACACTATACTTGATTTCTTTTCAATTAATTAAGGTATTGGCTGAGAAAAAGGCAGTGTCACAAGTGGGATTCGAACCCACAACCTTCGGCTAAATACACTGCTGCTATACCACTTTTATTTGGTCAAGCGGACCACGAAACATAATAAACGTAATAAGCAACATGAACTAAAGCTCTCCATGGCCATTTCATTTGTAGCCGAGAATCAAATAGATTACACATTTGAAAAATGACAAAAAGGAGGGAAAATTTAAAAAAAAAAATTTAAAAAGTGGGGTTGAGATGAGAAGCTGCGTATTTAGCCGAAGGTCGTGGGTTCGAATCCCACTTGGGACACTGACTTTTTTATCTCAACAAAACCTTAATTAATTGAAAAGAATTTATTTGGTCAAGCGGACCACGAAACCTAATAAATGTAACTATACTTGATATAAATTTCGTTAGATCATAATATCATTTTGGTCTGCCTATACTCACTAGTTTTGCCTGTTATAAATGTTTCAAATTTTTGCCAGAACCAACAGTGAATATGACAAAATGGCTGGTAATAACCAATATACAGGTTTATCACCCTGCACACCACGTAGAGAAATCTTAGAAGTTATTTCTTTATTTACAGAACATAAGATTTGCAATAAATATAATAAATTGGACGTTTAATACCGGGTAATTTAAACAAATTGTACAGTATCCCCTTAAATTTGCTGTGGTTGCATTTCAGAAAATCCTTGTGAATATTAAGCCTACTAAAATTAAAACAACATACTAAACACATTAGATTTGTTTAGCACGTAATTTGATCTTAACAGGAGCTTGCAGTATCAATAATCAATAATCATGAAAGTATGCAATTGGTGATCCTTCGTTATTTTTTCAAATAATTAATAGAATTTCCATGTAGAGATTTGTGGCAGCCTCAATATCCCTTTTAAACTGCAAACTTCATTTAAGACAGGTCTAAATCTAGTGCTTTTTGAACAAGTTGGACATTCGGGGTTAAAATTTCCCTCAGTTGTTTTGAAAAGGTAGAAATGGGACACAAATACTCGCTAACATGCATAAGCATAATTCTTATATTGGGTGGCATTCTTACATGCTCTCTATACAAAACCAAGGAACCATTCGCAAAATTAGACACATCTGTGGGTTTTGGCCCAGAAGTGTATATGTATGAACCTCGCATGGCCGATCTCTCTTCAACAATTCAGATCCCCCAAAAGCAACCCAACATATCTTCCATATTAACCAGATAGAGGCGGGATTGAATACATATTCTTTGGGGAGAAAGGCGACCAAGATAAAGGTGGGAGTTTAAACCATGACTGTGAGAGTCTATGAGCCAAGAATCTAACATGCTGATCACTCGGCTACTGCAATCCCCTGGCCCATTCTTAATCAGGAGAGGATGATTCATCATCTACAATTCAGATCCTCCGAGGGCCACTTATCGACCATGTTCTCAATGGGGAGCAGTAGAAACGACACTTTAATTAAGGGACACATTAAGCAACCTTTCTCAACATACCAGACACATAGGCGGACTTTAACTCAAAAATAAGTACCCGTATGTCAACCTCACATGGCCTATTCTTAATCGGGTGAGGATCACATATTCCCTTTGATGATCCCTCTTCTAAGATTCAGTTCTTTCGAGGCAGCATAGACTGTGCTATTAACTTGGATTCACGGAATGACACCGTTCAATTAAATGGGACACAACGAGTATCCTTTCTCACATAAAAGACACATACAGAAATAAGTGTGTTAACCTTGTATGGCCTCTTCTACACTTCACATCCTCTGATGGTCACAGGGCGACTGTGCTCTTAATATAGAGTCAAAGAATGACACCCTTCAATTAAATGGGACATGACGAGCAACCTTTCTCAACATGGCAGACACATACACAAGTTTTAACATAGAAATAAGATGTATTTACGCGTTCAGTGTATATTTACTTATACACTTAATGTTCTTGTGTCAACCTCACATGCCCTATTCTTCCACAATTCCATATTAGCTACAGAAAGAGGAGATTGATAACAAATATGTATTGGGGGGGGGTGAATAAAAGCCCATGTAATAGTCTACGAGCCTAGAGTCTCACACACTGACCACTTGGCTTCCGCTGTCCTGGCCAATTCTTGATTGAGGAGGATGATTCCTCTCTATAATTCAGATCCTCAAGTCCATCGATTGACTTTGCTCTCTATATGGAGCCAAGGAATGACCATTAGATTAAATGGGACACATTGAGTGACATTTCTCAACATGCCATACACTTACAAGGGCTTTCACAGAAATAAGTGTCTGTGTGTTAACCTTAAATGGCCTATTCTTAATCAGGTGAATATGATCTATCTTTTATGATTCAGATCCTCCCAGGGGCACCCATCGACTCTCGACCATAGAGCCATAGTTATGTTTTAACTGGAAAAAAAAACTAGGAAAAGTACAATAAGCCAGAATGCTACTTGGAGGTACATGAAACCCCGACTTACAAGATTTCCTCTTTCAACATCATCACCCTTCAATCAGGTGGGCAACATCAAGCAACCTTTCTTGATGGAAAAATATGCGGGCTTTGGCTCAGAAATGTGTTCACATGACAACCTCATATGGCCTATTCTTAACTGAGTGAGGACCTCTTCTATGATTAAGATCCTCAAGAATCTTTATATATGTGTGGTGATTAGTGACTGTTAATCGATAATTATTCAGAAATCGTGAGATGCGGTCTGGTGTGATGTAGGTTTCAGAAAAACATTTTCTTTCTGAAACCTACATCACACCAGACCGCATCTCACGATTTCTGAATAAATCTTTATATATTGCAAGATAGTGGAATGAAATAAATAACTACTGTAACAGAATAACGATTTTCCCTTGTGTTGACAAAAGGGTGGATAGGTTAAAAAAGCACAAAACTGTAAAATAAAATCCACCAGAAATCTTAAACCAAATGTGCAATCAGAAATATGCATTGGTGGATCCTGGGGTAGATATTATAATGAAATTAGATACTGCTTTCTTCAGAAAATAGAATAATGACAAATAGATATGTAAAACATATAAGAAAAAAAGATAACTTATAAAGTATATAAGCAGGATAGAAAATCAACTGAGTTATTACTATTTCACAATATTCAAAGGCGATGTTGGCCGTGTTAAACGTTTATTTAAATATGCTAGAGCCGTTAAAGAGGACAAAAGGGGTTTCGGACAAGAATGCAAATAACTTTCATTGTCAAAATAGGAAAAAAGTGGAGTTAGAGGGGCGAATGAATGTCTTACCACGGTAGAGGCGAGTCGTCATCTAAACGTCGGGTCGTCGCAGAATCTGTGACGGTTTTTACAGGCGTCCCATTTGGACTGGGAATCCGCTGTAAAAGGCCGATGTCGAGGTCTGATCGTTGCCAGGAGTACGGAAGGACCAGAAGAAAACCTTGAACGAGGCAAGCTTCTGGCCAACTAACGTGCAGTCTGCACCTCCTGCTGCCTGGCGACTTCTGTCCAACGAATCGCTACAACAGCGCCCTCGCACTATTCAGCCGCTCGGGTTCAACACAGTTCTACCAATGACGACCATATTCATAATTAATTTTATCTCCTTTAAGTCACTCATACTATCACTCCAAAATACTTGGAATCATCAAAAATTTTAACAAAAAACCAACAACTAAAACCTTGAAAAGTTAATTTATAATCTGTGCATTAAAACAATCCCCATTTATGCTGTTCCAATTGGGTCTTACCAGTGAGTTATAGAAGTAGAATGGATCATTGTGGACGGGATGGGCGTTTGTGGAAGATCTGTAAAAAAAAAGCAGAAGTGACCTAAATGCAGCTAATAAAAAATATATTTTAATTATTCACAGGATGTAAATACAACCACTAAAAACTGGCTTAATAATCAAATTCCTTGATGAATTGGGTCTCACCAGTGAGTTTTAGAAGTCTAATGGATCATTGTGAACTGAATGGGAATTTGAGTAAAATGGGTTTATAAAATGGTATATAATATAAAAAATTCAACTCAGATTAAAAAAAAAAATACTGTGTTTTACGATGATGTGTCTATTAAATTTGTCTTGATTGCAAAAAGTTTATACACTGATAGTTTATAAACTGATACAGTTTATTATAGTATCAGTTGCAGTCTTTTTCTGGGATGTGGTCAGATCTTGGTTTCTGAGGGTTTGTCACCGTGCAGTTGGTAGAACGCTTAAGGATTTAATAACAAAACAGAAAAAACAATTAAAGTGAAATATGTTGTAATTAATTAATGAAATATTATATCCGAAGGTGAATTATGCGATTTTCATGTATGGTTGATGACATGTTGGTGTTGATGACGCGCGATTCGTTAAAACTCGAGGCGGTTAGAACCTATGAACTGACGACCCCCAAAAGGAAAAGATAAACAATTTTAAATTTGACCCGATGAAAATCCGTTGGATGTGTTTATACATTTTGTTGGATCCTGTTCGAACTTAGCAGAACTTTCGACCTTGGACAAGATGTTCTATGCGATGGGCGAAGAGGAGAGCAGCGATGATGAGGCATCACGAGATTGTGCTAGGCACCCTAAATCAACCTATTTTCAGACAGAGTTTACAATCTCTATAAACAAGAGACCAGAGGAGTGTGAAAGTAAGGAAAGTGGAGACGAATACGTGACGGGTAAATATGAAAAGAGTAAAAGGAAAGTGAGCATATCAGTGCAGGCCGATGAGGACATCATAACGGAAAAGTGTTCCGATGAGGAGAGTAAGAAATGGGAAAGACCTCCTCTTGTAGGGCAGGCGTCGACGGAACTTTTCTCCGATGACGAGATAATTGATGACACATATAAAGATGAACAGTCAGTGTATGTATCGACGGATGATTACCCAAACCGAAAGGACTATGCGTTCGAAAGACCTCCAGAGGGGGCTTCATTGGAACAGCGTGTTCCTTCACCAGCCAGTGCGTCGAGCCTTGTCTCCGTCAAGCCGCTCGAGTGGGATAGCGGTGCAGACGTAGGCTACTTTCCGGGTGGCCAGGGCGATGCGCAGCTTTCGACCATCGAGCGGATGGCTCTCAACGGCAGTCGGTTGAAACGCTCTGATCCTGAAGGGACACCCTGCACCAATGGCCCGCCACCGTTGCAGCCCCTTGGACCACCCGAAGCCGAGTCTACGCCTATTTCCACCAATGGTAATACGAAGAACACAACTGAGGCTGACGAACCAAAGCAATATCCACTCTTTCCAGAGGTAATTAAAGAAATGGTAAATACTTCCATCTAAAAAGATAAATTCACCAGTATCAAATAAAAAGTATATAAATACAAAAAAAAAGTATATATATATAGAATCTCTTATTTCAATAGTTTTTGCAGTAAGTAAATCGTGAACTTTGGTGTGACATAATCTTATTATTATATAAGTATGCTTTTTATCTAAGGTCTTGGGTGAGATGAAAAAGTCGGTGGCACGAGCGGGATTCGAACCCCCAGCAGTTAACTAAGGGTCGTGGTTCGATCCCGCTCTTGCCACTGACTTTTTCATCTCAACCAAGTTCTTAATAAAAAGCATAGTCAATTAAAATAATTAATATGGTCAATTATGACTACTAAACTTATATGGATTAATATAATATGCATAATATTAACAAATATTTTGTCAAAACACCGGCACCCCGAGGGTTGATATGACAGCTGCTGTTGCGGGGAAAAAAAATGTATATATATATAAAATAGTTCTCACTTTTTTTAATTATTAAAAAGGTTGCTTTTTTTCTTTTTTTTAATGTAGAACAGGTACAACCATAGTTTGAAAAATGTATATACAGAGCAGCCCTGCTTTTGTCTTCAGCATGCAATTTTTTTTAAACAAGGGTATTTGAACCCTCTGCATGTCGGTATTTTTGAAAAATGGTTTTGAATACAGGGCTGCTAGATTTTAACCTGGGACGGTTATGAGCACTATGTCAACACCTAAACTGTTACGGCCACTGATGCCCCCCAAAAATATTTTTATTATAATTATTGCCCTACCAATGATTTTTGAATGCTGAAGAGGAAGCAGGGCTGCTTCAAAAAATATACATATTTTTTTTTTAAACTATTGGTTGTATTTGTTCTACATTAAAAAAAAGAAAACTATGTGGTTATATTTGAATTTTTTGGTTTACATTATAATTTTCACCAATATATGCATTTGGGGGTTAATTGTGATTTTCCTATTTCATGAATTCGCAATAAAAGTAATGGCGTTTTTAGATTTTGGTTAATCAGCATGAAGTGTCTGATTCGGAAGTTGAAGAGCAAAGAGTCACGAGCAGCCCCACATTAAGCAACGCGGCTATCAGGAACATCAAGGAATTCTACGGTTCTGCCACTTTTCCTAGATCTCAGTGTCAGACGAGCGTCAGCCAAGAGCTCAACCCGCGCATCCGCCAGCTTGCTTTCAACAAATCTAACTCCTCGTCGTCAGTCGCGACTGTTGTCAAAAACAGAGCTCAGTCTGCTCAGAGCCAAGTGGACAGCAAGCCCTCGGAGACAGATTCAGTACAGACAGCTGCCAACAGTTTCGAGTACTTGCCCGGTGATAAGTATGAACCTCCGGATGAATCGCCCAACCTGAAACGTGACGTTGAACGAGGTGTTAAGCTACTGGGTGAATTCATGAAAGACGCTGGTGCCAATGATACACTTACTAAGAAGCAACTTTTGAAAAAGGTTGTTGATGGACTTCTTGAAAAAAGGTATATTTTGATTCAATTTTTCTTCAGAATATTAATTTTTAGAAACTTTAAAATTTAGTCATTGGGTTATATTTATAAATAATATTTAATATGTATTTTATAACAGTTACATCAAACGTCCTATTTAAAAATAGATAAATTGACAGATTAGATATCCAACCACTATGTTGTTTCCTTAATCAATTCATTTATTATCATTATACTTTTTTCATCAAAAAATGTTTATAAATTGAAGAATTGGCCAATTTTTAGATACCCAGAGGATGAAGAATGGGAAGCGTCAATTTTCCAGGGGGAAAGGTGCATGACGAGGCGGAGTCAGAACAGAGATGATGTATCAGGCCAGTCTACACCAGTTGATGAAAACTCGCATGATTCAGTGCTCAGCAGGATGGAGAAAAGTGCGGCAGAAGGTATTAATCATGATCTTCCCTGATAGTTTGTTTTCATTTGACAGTATTTTATATCTATGCTTTTTTGTATTTGATGAGTGTATTGGAGTATCGAATTTTAATCTTGATTGAGGGGTTACTAGGAAGCAGGGGTTTTATATTGTCCAAGCACTTTTAGTTTATTGTACTTTTTCCTAATTCCTTAGTTTATTTCAATTGACTCAATCCTTTTAAGCAGTCAGTCTGTCACCCTCTCACCCCTTTGTTTACATGTAGTGTTCAGGGCAGTGTAATAGAGAGTGGATAAAATAATAAGGAAATGAAAAAAAAGATAAAAAATAAAACCAACGATAAGGATAAACGGCCTTCACAAGAAAACATTTACAAATTTGAAATGCCTTAATTGTCCACTCCTTCTCTCACTGATTTCCAATATATCTTTCTATTCCGACGGCCCAAGCACACGTGCACCTTCCTTTGTCCTCTCGCTCCCACCACCTCAGGGATCTTCCCATTAGCCGAGCTCCTGAGTGTCGTGGGTATAGCTCATGAGTTGTCATCGAGTTCTATTAGTGCAATTCTATCTCACGTCTCTTCTTGGTACCCTAGGTTATGTCTCCATTGAGTGGTTACTTCACATCCGAAGATAGTAGGGGTAGTTTCTTCCTCCTCATTGCTTTCTCAGATGTCAGTGACCACATGACCATTAATATATAATGTGACATTAATAATGGGCTGATTAGAGATAATTGCTCAAACAAAGCACCTTCAAGATTTAATGAAGGCCCACTGAGTTGACACAAATGTTGACTTTTCAAATAAATTCACTAATTTCGTGGTCCGCTTGACCAATTAATATATTACAATTAATTAAGGTTTTTAGACAAGATAAAAAAGTCAATGGCACGACCGGGACTCGAACCCATGATCTTCGGCTAGATACGTCGCTGCTGTACCACTTGAGCTATCGTGACCTCGATCCGCTCGGTCATTGACTTTTTTATCTCGACTAAAAACCTTAATTAATTGTAATATATTAATTGGTCGAGCGGCCCACAAAATTAGTGAATTAAATGAAGTTTACTTCACTAAAGCTCTCCGTGGCCATTTCATTTGTCGCCGAGAATCCAATCCGATTACACGACATTTGAAAAACGGCAAAAAGGAGGGAAAATTCAAAAGGTGCGCTTGAGATAGGAAGTTGATGTCCGAGTGGATCGAGGTCATGATAGCTCAAGTGGTAGAGCAGCGGCGTATCTAGCCGAAGATCGTGGGTTCGAATCCCGCTCGTGCCATTGACTTTTTTATCTCGTCTAAAAACCTTAATTAATTGTAATTTATTTTCAAATAAAGCACCTACAAGATTAAATGATCTGACTCCCTGTGAGATGGTGATATGAAGAAAGTCAATTGCTCAAATAAATCACCTTCAAATCAATGTGAATATTAGAGCTGCAGGAAAAATAAGCGGTCGGGCATCTATTGGGTTGTCCGGAAAATAATGCAGGATTTTGGTATTAAATCGGTTTTAATTTTAATAACTCATGGACTAAGAAATTCAAAGAAAACCTCTATCTTTGGTGAACTTTGTTGTAAAATGCACTGTATTTCTGCAGATCTAGTGCTAAATTATTTTAATATTTCGAAGTGTTAATTTGTTATCCCCCAACCATTTGATAACTTTACCATTAAATTTTATGAGTTAACTGATGAAGTTCAAGTACTTAAATCCGTGTAGAATATATATATATATATTGGGTTGTCCGGAAAATAATGCAGGATTTTGGTATTAAACAAAAAAAAAGAAACTAGTTACTTTAAAGCAATGTTCTTTAATCAAAATAATTTCCCATACTCTCAATACATTTCTCCCAACGTGTTGGTAACTTATTAATTCCGTCTGAGTAGAATTCAGAATTTTTAGAATTGATAAAGTCAATAAATGCATTTTCCAGTTCCGTTTGATTTTTGAATATTATGTGTTGTAAGTAGTGGTCCAGGTGTCTAAAAAAATGGTAGTCAGTAGGCGAGAGGTCCGGAGAGTAGGGTGGGTGAGGCAAAGTTTCATAGCCAAGCTCCAATAATTTTTGTGACGTTACACGTGACACATGTGGTCGAGCGTTGTCATGCAACAAAATGGGCCCTTTCCGATTGACCAAAGAGGGCTTCATTACTGCCAATTTCTGATGCATGGTATTAATTTGGTTACAGTATGATTCAGCATTGATGGTTTCGCCAGGATTTAAGAAGCTGTAGTGTATTAAACCAAATGAAGCCCACCATACCGTAACCATTACCTTTTTTTGATGAGTTGGGGGCTTTGGAAAATGTATTGGAGCTTCTCCTTTGTCGAGCCACTGTCCAGAACGTCTAGTGTTATCGTAGAGAATCCACTTTTCGTCACATGTAACAATTCTGGCCAGAAATGGGTCATTTTTGTTTCGACAAAGAAGTGATGCACAAGCGCTGATTTTTTTGGCGATCGTTTAATGAGTGTGGAACCCAATTTTCGAGTTTTTTCACTTTTCCAATCGCCTTGAGGTGGTCAGCGACGGTCGTTTTACTGACTTTGAGTTGCTCTGCAAGTTCTCGAACAGTTGTTTTGGGGTTTTCTTCCACCACTGATCGCAGAACATCATCATTAAGAGAGGAAGGCCTTCCATGACCTTCTTCATCTTCAAGGCTGAAATCTCCCTCCCGAAATTTTTTAAACCACCTTTGCACAGTGCACTCATTAACACAACCCTCGCCCCAGACTTGGTTAATGTTTCTAGCCGTTTGGGCTCCGCTTCGGCCGAGTTTAAACTCGTAAAAGAAAATCGTACGAAATTCTCGCTTTGACATTATAAGGATGACTGAATTATTTCCAAGTAGTGGAATGCTACAGAGGTAAACAAACAATATCATTTGGAAGAGGATTAATAAGTGTTGACATTCATACAAATGAGTAATCCTGTAAACGTAAACAGAATATTTTATATAGATTTTTTTTAATGAAAACTTAAAATCCTGCATTATTTTCCGGACAACCCAATACTTGGTCCAATAATAGGAAGCGGAGGTTTAATGTACACCATACACCGCGGTATTGTGGTTTATTGTATTTCCCTAGTGTGTTTAGTTCATTTCAGTTGTCTTGACTCTTCTTTCAGGACAGAGAAGGTGATTAACCTTTTTTACTGTAGTTCTTCATGGTACCATAGGCTGTCTCCATTTAGGTGCTGCTTTGCATTCGAAGGTAGGTGGCAATTTTTTCTTCCTAATTGCATAACCTAGGAAAGGGTTCATCGTTGCACATTTCCCTGCTGGATAGGTCTTTTCTCAGTTGCTAGTGACCCTAGTATAGAGTCCTATTAGCCCCATAAATTTTATCCAGTATACTATCTGAACTACTAATTTGGTTGAAGGTTCTTTAATCTTGGGTTTACTATGTCTGGCACCTTTGGAGTTACTCTACTTCCTCCTGTTTTTCGTGGTCCCTTTCTGAAATGGAGGAGTCTATGTTTAAACTTGTTATGCCAGGTGTGTAGATGTAATTTCAGGGTATAGTACTGCGCCCTTTAAGAGCTATTGTATCCCCCGAGCTCTGCCTAAAGCACATCGGTGAGTCCTATTTCATCAAGAAACTTGATTGGCCTGGTTTCAGTGCTTGAAACTCTTCTATGGTCACATTATTATTAGTAGGTGTGTTGGTATCTCTTCTGCCTCTTTTCAGAATCTGCATGTGCCATTTTGGATTATTCCAATCTTATTTACGTGTCCATTTAACTTGCAGTGTCCTTTTAGGAATCCTATTAGGATTCGCCGTTTATTCTTGCTTCCCTTGACACACTCTATAATTTCTTTCCTTCCAAAATTGGTTAGAAGATTCTTGGATTGTCTGTGTCCAATGAGTGAATTCCATAGTTCCCTCATTTTCTTTTTGTCCTTCTGTCTGAGATAATAGTGTGGGTTCCTATGCCACAGAAGGGTTCAGGACCTATCAGCGGTGTAGCAGCTTAGCTTTGCAAGGGTATTGCTTTCTCATTGCTTTCTACTCCCATGTGTCCTGGGACCCAGCAAAGGCTGACTTTGTTCTGCGTACCTAATATGTTTAGTTTGGTTTTGCAGTTCAGCACCATCCTTGAACTAATGATATTTGAACTTAGTGCTTTGATGGCTGCTTGGCTATCTGACGTGATAGCTATATTCTTGTTTTTGTACCCTTTATTTAGGTTGAGTTGGGTACATCTTTCAATTGCATGAACCTCAGATTGGAAGATACTGGTGTATTTTCCCATGGTTCTGAGTATTTGGTTCCAGGTCCAAATACTCCTGCCATGCCAGGTATGTTCTAAACCTATATGGTCTTGCACATTCTCCTCTGGTTGAAGTATGGGACTTTTTTATGTACAAAAAAAAAGTTTGAACCGTCAACTATTTTTAGTGGAAAGTTAAAATTTTTGAATTTTGGGAAGGAGAACTCGTCATAAAATCGAATGGCTCAATGCAATTGGATAAAATTTGAAATCATAGTAAAACTTTGTTTGATTTTTATTATTATTACTTTTTTAACGAGGGTTCGCAACATCAGAAGTCATATCAATCCTTGGGATGCTGGGTTTTTGAAAAAAAGTCCATTGGTAAGTAAGTCAGGTTCAAATATAGGGTCGTGGGATTTGAACCCAGGAACTTAACCTTACAGTGATGAGCATGTGTCAATGCCTAAACCATTTTGGCCACTGACACCCCTCGTTTTGTTAGTATAGTAGTCTTTAAAAAAAAAAAAATCTAATCATAAACTTACTACGTAGGAGTTTCTTTGAGAATAAATATGTATTTTGGTAATAAACTAAGTGAGAATATTTATTTATTTATATTTATATTTTTTTATATTTATTTTAAAATTTTAAATATTTTTTATTCCTCCATAAATATTTTTTAATGAATGATACAAATAAAATTAACAGCTTAAATTACTTTTTTTTTTAATATCTTCGCACTTCATTAATTGAAAATATTTTGAGTTGATTTGCACGTTTTTGCTCTAAGGTCATTCAGCATCATCTGCCTCCTGTCAAGGCAAGAAATCAAATTCAACATCCAACCACAGTTCCAGGAGTGATTCGAGGCCCAAGGCTGAGGGTCAAGTTCCGCCGGCGCCGATCCCACCCCCTCCACAAGGTAATTTTCAACTTAACAAGATTATCACAGTTCTCTCAGTGCGTGGTGCTTTCAACAGCCAAAACGAGCTCCTCAAATGAAAGGTCGAAGGCGGATTCAGTACTGTCAGCTGAGAGGAACCGAAAGGATTGGAGAATCCCCCAAACAAAAGCAGAACATCTTTATGAATTAGAAAAATCCAAAGGTTTTTTTTTTCTTTTTAATAATTAAACATTGGTACATCTGAAATTATGTATTAAATATGACTTGCAGATAAAAACAAAGCAATGGACGATAGAGTTCTTCAATTTATCAGCTCCGAACGTGAAAATCAGCTTGAATGGATTAAAAAAGAAATAAATCATTTAAGCAACCTTAAAAAGTTAGTTTACAAACCTTAATATAATTAATTATTGAATTTCCATTGTAAAAATAAGTTCTTTGCACTTTTTTTAAAGGTTGTTAGAAAAACACGAAACTCTAAAAAAGAATTTTGCACATTTGAAAAATTCTAAAGAAAGGACAAAGTCAATGTTAGAATCTAAGTACTCAAGAAAACAGTAAGTTTGTTGAAGAAATTAATTTTTTTTAAGCCCTGTTTAATTATTGTGATTTTAAAGAAGGAGAGATATACAAAAATCGAGTTCTGCGCCATTGAAGAGACCTGTGGAAAACCACCTGTCATCGGTAATTTTTTTTTTAATTGGCCTTTATGTTTAAAACTACAAAAACAACTTAAAAATTAGTTGGCTTTTGTCTCAATTAATTAATTAATTTTAATACCGTTTTATGATTTATAAAGAAATTTCATAAAACTGAAAAGCTTTTTTTTTTTAATCATTATTAGGTAATAATTTCACTAATTTCGTGGTCCGCTTGACCAATTAATATATTACAATTAATTAAGGTTTTTAGTTGAGATAAAAAAGTCAATAGCACGAGCAGGATTCGAACCCACGATCTTTGGCTAGATACACCGCTGCTCTACCACTTGAGCTATCGTGATCTTGATCCACTCAGACACTAACTTCCCATCTCAACCCCACCTTTTGAATTTTCCCTCCTTTTTGCCTTTTTTCGTGGGTTCGAATCCCGCTCATGCCATTGACTTTTTTTCTCAACTAAAAACCTTAATTAATTGTAGTATATCAATTGGTCAAGCTGACCACGAAATTAGTGAATTTATTGAATGAAAATGAAGTATACTTCACTAAAGCTCTCCTTGGCCATTTCATTTGTCGCCGAGAATCAAATCCAATTACACATTTGAAAAATGGCAAAAAGGAGAGAAAATTCAAAAGGTGGGGTTGAGATGGGAAGTTAGTCCGAGTGGATCGAGGTCACAATAGCTCAAGTGTAGAGCAGCGGTGTATCTAGTCGAAGATCGTGGGTTCGAATCCCGGTCATGCCATTGACTTTTTTATCTTAACTAAAAACCTTAATTAATTAGGTAATAAGTTTATCTGTAAAGGTGGGTCCACTCTTATAAAAATTTACGCCAAATGTTTTCAACACAAATTGAAAAATATTTCCATACAAATATTTATGGTGTGTGGTGAGTTTTTGCTCAAGTTAGTCCAAAAATCAAGTCCCGGTGTATTGAACATGGGTAAATTCTTGTGTGCATTGTCACATCACACAAGAACGCATCAGACACTTGTGTTGGTTGTCACTCACAGAAATTTATGTTGTATGTTGTACTCGGTGCGAATTTTTATGTGTCTATTGAATACAGGGCTGCTAGATTCGAACCGGGACCTTTACCCTAAAGTGATGAGCGCCGGTTCAACACTTGAACCGTTGTGGCCACCGACACCCTCTAAAGGATACGTTAAACATTGAATGTTATGAGTTGAGCGTCTAAAATTTGATTTTAGGACCAGAGTAGCTGGCTATCACACAAATATGAAAGATCATCAGGAAACCTTCTTCGGCGGAATGCATCCACAAATACAGGTCTGTCTGTAGTTACTGAGATCACAAAACTACCAAAAAAATCTGTCGCCTATACGATTATTTTCCAAGATAGTGTAAGTACACATAGGATTTATCTTTTCTTCTTCCAAATTGTTTATATAAATTTCAACACAGGATAAAGAAAACGGAAATGTACATAGCTCGGAAAGAGGAAGAAAAGTGATGGATCTTGGTACAGATCCAGATCCTCCCAGAATTCACGGCGTGACTATTGCTGATAGGGAAGAGCTTAAGCGCAGCAGCCGAGATAAAGTCAAAGAACATCTATCGCATCTTAAGCTCCAGGTATTGGGTGTAATGTTTTACAAGTAAGCGTTTTAAATATTTCACTTTCTTCAAGAAGTAGCAACATTTCTTTTCGCAGGATGAATTGATGGCTAAAAAACCCGATTATATAGTCAGGGCGGAAAACAGGAGACAAGTCGTTGCTGAGCTGGCTGCACATCGAGAGTTAAGACAACAGAACAAAGACAAAATATTAGCTGCAGCCATGAGCAATGAAGCTCCACACCCTTGTGAAATCCCCCTAAAACCGTTAGGTAATTGATCACTAGTGATTTTCCTGATTTTTTTCTAACTTCTTTTTTAAGTCAAGAGAATTGTGAGTCAGAAAGAGATGAGGAGCCAAACAGAGAAGAAGTACAAAGGGTTAGCTGAAATCAAACAGAAACAGTTGGAGCAGAGAAGGCAGCAGGACTATCAGACCAACCGCCTCATGGCAGACTTGTTCAAAAGGGTAAGAAAACAATTTGACTCCTTGAATTTTCTAAAAGTAAAACTGAACGTTTTGCAGAAACTACAGAGGAAAGTGCTCTACGGTCAGACTGATCTTTCTAACAGTGTCAACGTCATTTCAAGCTGCTGATTTATTATTTATATGGCAGAAAGGTTTTTATAAATGCATACATGTACACGACACTAAAATAGTTACTGTAAATTTGTTATATATTTTCTTACTGTTTATAAATGTAAATTAATTTTGTACCTTCATTTTTTGTATTTTTGTAAAACTTGTCTTATTTATCACATGAACTTTATTTTATATATTGGATAATAAAAATGTACTGGTGAGTTGTTTGTTCATTTTTGGTTCATTGTACTTAGTTCAGTTCAATTGATTTGATCCTTCCCTTAAGAATGTTGTCAGAGATGATGATGAGGTCATATTTGAGGCCTTAACATCAAACTACACAATGGAGTCCCAGACAAGGGGTAAAACCTTTTTGAAATACATTTTTCAAAATGTAATCAATAAAAATGCCATGGGGATTTGAACACAGAACCTCTAGCATGGCATATGAGTCGGACAGCCTAGCTACTCAGCTACCACACTCCCTTAATAACTTGAATATGTGTAATTATAAAATTATTATAAAACTTTTAAAAAAATCCTAGTTGTTATTTTGATTATGATGATGATGGATGTTACGAAGTGGGGGTTTTTGCTTCAAAGGACCCAAGCACTGCAGCCTTCTGGCTTGTACTTTCCTAGTTCCTAAGACCAATGCAATTGAATCAATCCTTCTCTTAAGAAGTACCAGGTCATTGACTGCCATTGCTAGAATTCCTTTCCTGGGCGGGGGTTCCTTTGTATCACACATGAGGGTCTCATCAAGGTTGAGCAATTGCTTCACATTCAAAGATAATACGGGTGGCTGTTTGTATAACCTACAGTTGGGATCATCGTTGAATTTGTCCATGTTGTGTAGATGTTTGCTCAGCTGTCTGTGGCTGTGTATAGTCATATTGCTACCTAAGTTTAGCCCTCTCCAGAAGTAGTAGTGAATCTGCCAATCTTGGTTAGGGTTGTTTTACAATATACTTACTGTCTAGCACCTTTAGAATTTATCCACTTTTCCTTTTTACTTTTTTTATCTACTCTGTGGTGGAGGATTCTAAGTTTGTTTTTGTTATCCCAAAAAAAGGTTCAGGGCCTATATTCTCCTCTGGCCAGTCTGCTTTTTATTCTTTATGACATGGTACCCAAGATAGGTTGTTGTGTTTCCGCAGGTTTTGGATGCATTTGCAGTCATATTTCGATATGATTTTTTTTTTTTCATGTGAATGCTTTATAGCTGCTTAGCCATAAAGATGAGATTTTTTTGCCAGTGAGTTAACCACTTTTAAGTTTCTGAAAGAGAAGTGTTGATGGCATGTATTTCAGTTTGAAAGACTGATATGTACTTCCCTATTGATTGTTATTCAGATATTGTGAGATGCGGTCGGGTGTGATGTAGGTTTCAGAAGAACATTTTCTTTATCATGCCAACGTTTCGATCTTTTATTGAGATCATCTTCAGGGCTCAAAATGTTTGTCTTCTGTGTAATTGTGCCATCCTTGCGTGTCGTGTTGAGAGTGCCCCCTCTCACGATATCTGAATAACTATCGATTAACGGTCACTAATCTCTACACACCTTCCCTATTGAGTTTGGTTGCCCTTGTTTTGAGCTTTTATAAAAAATGCAGTCTCTTGATTCACTAGGCTAAACCTCCATTGAGCAGTTGCTTTGCATTTGAAGATGTATAGCTCCTCATTGCATAACCTACAAATGGAAATCATTGAATAAATATATATGTATATCTTAGGTCTTTTTTTTCAGAAGCCAGTGAGTGGTATTTAACCCTACCACTCCCCTGAGTTTTGAACTCTAGTTGTAGCAATGTATCTGCCAGTTTTGGCAAGGGTTCTTTAATGAGTTTACTGTGTCCTGCACCTTGAGTTTGTCACTGCTTTTATTTTTTGTGGACCCATTGAATTGGATGGTCTGCGTTTGATCTTGTTCTCCTAACAGTAGATTCTGGGCCCATATATGGTATATCAATTCACCCTTAGGAAAGGACAATTCTACTTATGAACTGTACATGGTTTGTGAGTAGAAATATCCTTTGCAACCCAGTAGACTAAGGGACCGTGGTCAGAGTGATACTCTTGGCTCATAGACCCCGTGATTGTGGGCTCAATTTCCATTTCTTTCATGCAGCCCCCCCCACTACATATATGTTGAAACAAATACATATGTACTCTGTCTAATATGTGAGTCCATAAGGCCATTAAAAAAAATAAATAAATAAAATAAAAATCAGTCGTCTACAAGTACAATTTTGAACAAAGACTGTTTTTAGAGAATTTGCACAGTCTGGAGAGCATTTACTGTTGTAAGTTTAAGCAAAATTTTTTGATGGATTATTTTGCATATTCACAAACAGATTTTGAGCAATAAATGCTAATTAGACTATAATACTATACTATAGAGTATAATATACAAGTACATTTTCCATGCAGATTGTAGACAGTCTTGTAGATAAATTGCATTGAAAAGTAGTTCAGTAAGTTAAGATTTTGACAAATTCTTTTGCATACTCTTTTTTTTCTTTGATTTTATCCTTATCATAAAAAAAAGTAAAAACTCGTATCTGGTGGAACATCACCCCACAAAAAGAGATGGGTAAAAGAATCATTTAAACAAATTGCTATGCTAAGTAAGTATATCAGTTAAATAGCTAAAATGGATGGACAATGCAACATGTCTACAAGACTGACAGTCTACAACTGTGTAGAAACCGACACTTGCATAGACTGACAAGTATTCACTTTGGAAAGCATAGGCAAGATTTTATTGTTAGATTTTTTGCATAGTCGAAAAACTGGTTTTCCAGTAATTCAGATTTCACGTTGCCCTCACCACAACTATACATATGTTGAGACAAATACATATGTACTCTGGCTAATATGTAAGTCCATAAGGCCATTAAAAAAAAATAAAAGAAAAGAAAAACCAGTAGTCTACAAGTTCAATTTTCAGTCAATCAAGACAGTTTTTTAGATAATTTGCATAGTTGGAGAACATTTACTGTAGCAAGTTTAAGCAAACTTTTTTGATGGATAATTTTGCATATTCACAAACTGATTTTGCAATGATCAACTCATTCTGAGCAATAAATGCTAATTAGACTGTATAAGTATAATCTACATTTTCATGCAGATTTAGACAGCCTTGTAGAAATCTGCATTGAAATCAAATGTAGTTTAGTAAGTTAAGATTTTGACAAATTCTTTTGCGTACTCTTTTTCCTTTGATTTTATCCTCATCATTAAAAAAAATAATAATTGCCAAATAGATCAAATTAAAAACTCATATCTAGTGGAACAACACCCCCCCCCAAAAAAAAAAGACGGGTAAAAGAAACATTTAAACAAATTGTTATAACAGAGTACACATATCAATTAAATAGCTAAAATGGATGGACAATGCAACATATCTACACATGTCGTTTCAAAAGTATAGGCAAGATTTTATTGTTAGAATTTTTGCAAGTATAGTCACAAGTATTCCACGTACTTCAATTTGCATCGTAAGATAAGCATTTGATTTTGTACGTCTAGGTGAGATTTGAACAAATTATTTTCAAAACTCTATATACGATACGCAAACTCTATTTTTTTATAACTTTTTTCTCACTCGTGTGAAAGAGTGTAGCACAATTCACCACTAGAGCCACTACATCATATCATCTATGGGTTGCTCCCTCACAGTTTGATAAACTATCCATAGAGATTCAACACAAAGTAACAACTAATGACCAAGACCCTTTGGTAAAATATCAAACTGTCTGAATGAAACTGAGTCAATACTCATTCCACCATTATTTTTAGATTAACTTTTTGTCCATTTCTGTCTTAGGGTGATGTTCCATCAGTTTGAAATTTTAAAGAAGGGTTCTTATACTGCTTTGTGTTAAGGAACCCTTCCCTGGCTAGTTAGTAGTTTATCATGTTGTAAAAAGGCAATAGAGGTTACGATGCAGTGTTCTAGTATAGAATTGTGTTACACACTTTTTTCACGAGTGAAGATAATTGTAATGCTGGACGTGTTGTCGAACTGTAAAGTGTGTTAGCCGGAGCAGTGTAAGGCAGAGTTTCTTAAATAACGCAATGTTTTGACTCGTTATGCAATGTGAGGTCGTGAGCTTTCACCTTGTTCCGGGGTGCAACCGTGCAGGTCGTGAAGACGAACGTGATCACTTTCTAAATTCGAATCGTAAAGCCCGCTTCAGCCGAGTCTCTAACGGGATCGGCTGAGAACTAATCGTGTAAACAAACCACTGGAGGAGTCGCATTGTCACTAATCCGAGCTTTGACGTTAGTCGTTACTAGTCAGTCGGTGTTTATCGGTCGTGTCCATGTCGTCCTGATCCACTTCTGAACGGCTTCTCTATCTGGGCCATGGAGCTCCACCTCTCCAACGCCACCGACGGTTTCCTCGACACCGTCTTCTCCAGCGTGAACGGCCTGGCGGCTCAAGATTACAACCCCTGGTACGGATCGGTCATCGGGTCCATAATCGTCGGCCTGAGCGGTATCATTCCTCTCTTCATCATCCCGGTCGACGGCTCGCTCGACCTGAAAACAGGGGGTAAGCGACGAAACGCAATTCTTCCCAATTTCACAAGCAAAACTGAAGATATTGATTTTTTTTTCAAACGGGGAAAATCAGACTGATCTTTGCTCTCGCGGCGTATTTAATATAAAAAAATGTTATAACAAATAAATGATTCTTTCTGTATATAAAACATCTACAGCTTTGTTTTGTTGAAGAAAAATTAAATATACAACAAAACAGTAATAATAAGCAAAAAGAAGATAAACTTTATTGCGACTTGACAGTCGACGTTCTGCGTAAGTGAAATGAAAAGACGTCAACAAACTTATAAGATAATTGACAAAAAACCCGAATTTGTTTAATCTTTGCTGTTAACAAAAAATTGACAGGCGTCATCTATTTGGACACAAAAGAAGAATAAATTTATTTTTAGAAAATCTTCCTCGATCATGCCTTGTAGCATTGCTTTATTAAACTATTATTAATAATTTGTAAATTTATTTATGCTCTATTTCTCATAGAAAATGTATAAATTAATTATTTTCTCTATACAAAGAATAAAATAGATTTTCTTATTAAACCCAAACCGATAACACAACTCAACTTTTAATAGAGTAATTTTCTTTGTAATCTATTGAAATTAGATTTGTATTATTACTCCACAATAAAAAAAAAAGAACAAAAAAACTCAAAGGACTATTTTTAAGAGGAGGAAATTGTTATGCAAATCGGTGATAAAATTGTTTTGTCTATCGCTGTCTGTTGTGATTTGTGGCCTGTGGGGCAACACGGGTATCTCGAGTTCATCTTCATTCTTCAGGCGGGTCTGTCCGTGCCGTTTCGCTTTGTTTCGATTTTTCACTCCGAGATGAGTGACCGAGTGATTCGTCGGGCAGCCGGCCCTTTGTTGCCAGGCGGAAAGCGAAGCTTATCATTTCTCACCCGAAACTGATTGACGTCGCTTTCTCAATTGAAAAAAATGGGCGAGACTGTTTTGAGCCGGGCATGCATTTTTTTGTTTCAATAGGACGACTTTCAACTCTTGTTACGTTGATTTTGTATCGTAGGCCTACCATATTGTCAAGTTAATGCGTGAACTTCGCCTTTTGCGTTCCTCCTGGTCCGCCTGTCCTCGCTGTTTTGTCTTTAAAAAGCGTCTCACAATTTTTAGCACAGGGAAACGCATACGCCTGAATTTTGCACTGAAGAAGGCAAAATGGCGACCGAAAACGACCAAATTACTGGTTCATCACCCTGCAGACCTGAAAAAGAAATTTCACAAATTAAAATTATTTACTTCCTAACCGAATGGACATCTATATCTATTGACCTCTTATGCTGTCATTTTTCCTTTTCTTTTTTTATTTACAAATTTTGGTCTGGGTTAACCTCTTCATGTCTTGTAGGGTAGAAGAAACAACTATTTCTTAGTGCTTACCATCAATTTTTTTCTTTTACATTTTGTATTTTGGAAACGCAACAATAAGATTTTGGTGAAATAAAGCAACTGCTTTGGAAGAAACGCAAAGTTAACTTTTGAGAAATGCTTTCAAATTCATTTTTTTTTTGCAGAGTACTGGACCTGTAAAATTGGTACCTGATACTAAAGGAGTGTACACTAAGCAAATCTTGGCCAATAAATACATTGGGCTGAACGTTGGTCGCCAATACATTGGCAATTCTTGGATCATCCTCATCAAACTAAGCGATTTGGCCATGTAGAATCACTGTCAACGTCAACCCTTTTTAATGTTACCGTCAGAAGTTTGAGCCTTGACTAAGGCCAACCGCTTTGTTGGCGTTGATTCGCCTACCATTCACGCTAAGAAAATCATGTCAAACGAAGCGGTTGGTTGTCTTATATTGGCCAAGATTTGCTTAGTGTGTACTCATCTTAACACAGGTTTCGGTTAAGCAATTAACATTATGTTATCTTCGTTACATTTTGGTAAATTTTTGTCCACAAGTGAGACAAGGAGTGTAAAAATATAAAAAGTTAAGTAATTCTTGTCAGCACGGGTGAGTATCCAACTGTCTGTTGGATTCATGCTAAATCGGCATTTGGTCACTTCGCAGTTTGTTGAACTACTCAAACTTGCAAGTGAACACAGACCCAATAAGTGACCCCAGTGCTAGTTCAGCATGAGTTCACCGACTCGCAGACCAACACCCAGAATCAACTCTGTCTGATGTGTGCGGTGGGTGACCACTTTGCAATACTTTTTTCATATCATTCTCTAGTAAAAAGTCATAGGTTATGTGTGGCTAATATGAGTCAGACAACCTAACCTCTTGGCCACTGCAATCACCCAGTAAAAATATAATTATTGATATATTGATTATAAGATAAGATTTCAGCAAGATCATATATACTACTTTTTTGGGGGTGGGGGGTCAAGTAAAGATTCTAACTTTTTCTCAAGTGCGACCTATATTGGTTTATCGTGGACTATGATTATGACTATATAGTGGAAGGTGCGCCTTTTCCCACAAAACTAAGAAATTTCCTTAGTGCCTCTGAGTGCGAGCCTTACTGTATCCAGGTTAGAGTTTCACATCCACAAATGAGATGTACCGATGTAACTGCTTGCCAATCTCTTAAGGCAGTAGTTAAGAGGGTAGTGGCGAGATGTACCGATGTAACTGCTTGCCAATCTCTTAAGGCAGTAGTTAAGAGGGTAGTGGCTTGTACTAATGCCTGTAATTTACCTCAAATTTTGCCTTCTTTGAGAGAGGAATATCTTCAACTTATTTTTTGAGAGGTTTATAAATTTCTTAGTTTGCCTCATACCTGGTTTTTTATTTTTATAAATGGTGGTATTCAATTATGAGGTTATATGAACCCTCGGGCTGTTCGTGTTTTTGACAAAAAAAAAGCTCATTTGTAAATATGTCGGGTTCGAATGCAGGGCCACTGTATTTGATCCTGGGACCTTTATCTTACAGTGATGAGTGCCGTTTGAATGTCTAAACCATTGCGGCCACCAACGCGCCCAGCCACAACTTAAGCACATTCTCTTGAGTTTTCCTCTCATTATGTCAGATGCAGTTGTAATTGTTTACCTCTATTTACTAGCAAGAATCGCTTGTCTGCATACAACTTCAAACAAAATATCCCAGTATGTATTTTAAAAAAAACCTATTTATTTTTATGTTGGATTCCAATTCAGGGCCGCCGGATTCGAATCCAGGACCTTACCCTACAGTGATGAGTGTCAATGCCTTAACTGTAGACTGGAATTATGCAGTTGTTAAGGTTTTTCTTCTAAACAAAGAATTAAAAGAAAAATGAATATTTCTTTGTTATTTAATTACCAGTTGTTGTTGTTTTTTTAAATTGATTGCGTTGAATTTGCTTATCTCCATTTATGATCTTAGAGCGATACTAGTTCCATGATTCATGCAGACTGATATATAAATAAATTAATTTAATTCTTTGGCGTTATTTTTTCATAGTAGTCATTTTTTAGTTGGTAAATATTTGAGGGTATTTATTTTTACAGTTTGGTCTTTTTCTGATCATTTTGGTCTGTCTATTTTAGCTAGTTTATCATCTTCTATGCTGTGTACACAATATGATGAAAAACTAAAATGACCAAACTTCAGATTCATCACCTTGCAGACTCAATGAAGAAATCTCTCAATATTAATTTTTTTTTTTTTTTTTTTTTTTGAAAAAGTGTATAATGGCCGTGTCAGTGGGCTGGATTGGTAGAGAAGGTCTTGGGTATCATTCACTGTCTATAATTAGCCCTCTTAGGACCTGATTTGTGGAAGAAGGCTCATCCTCACCCAATTAAGAATAGGTCATGCGAGGCTGACAGTTACATTTGGGGCAAAGCTTCCAGCATGAAGAGAAAGGTTGCTCGATGTGTCCCACTTAATAGAAGGGTGCAATTCCTTGGCTCCATATAAAGAGTGTGTATAAATACAGTAGCTTGTATCTGCATCCCCTGTTCCAATCGGAGGAAACAGGGTTGTTTTATTACATATAGAAATGATATGTATCCCTAGCTATTAATAAATAGCCTAATCTAATTAGATTTTTTTCTTTTTTTAAATGCCAGGAATTGGAGGAGATCCCCCTGAGCAATGCAGCTGTACAGCTTATTGTACTTTATTCCTGTCTCTATTTTTTTGGGAGCTCGCAAGACGCGTGTGAATTGAGCCCCCGGTGTGCCAGTGTTCTTTCATCGAAGAAACTAATTTTTGAAGGGGGTTAGGACCAAATTCAAGATCGCTCTGATCCTGACCCAGATCTTCGATTGATGAGTGCCGTATCAATTTCTTTCAATTCTGGCTACCATTCCCCCTAGGCATCAGAAAAAAGTACAGAGTATTCCACCACCATGTTGGTATGGTATGTAAATAAGTAAGAATGTATTTAAGAGTGAGAGTTTGAATGAGTTTGGACTTAGGAACTGATGGCTATGAGCTCTTGGCAGCCCCTGGAGCCCCAACTTCTGCAGCGAATAAATAAGACCAAGGTCTGACCCCAGACTGCCAATACCCGGGGTGCATGACATTAAGATCTGCCAGTAATTTATTGTAAATTACAAAAGATATAATTCAATTCTGTACATGCTATATACAATGTTCTTGTTTGCTATGTTAAAGATTTGAGTTTATATAAATCCATTATCAATTATGTTGGCATATACTTTTTCATGCCCTGAAGATGACCTGAATAAAAGTTGAAACGCAATAAAAATTAAAAAAAAAAGTGTTTTTCTAAACTATCTCACTCTTGACTGCTCCTCACTTCAACGAATTATGAAACAATAGGTCACTAAGAAACACACATTTCTACCCGAGAGGAACAATATAACTAACATGGTTTTGCCTTGAAGATGACCAAAGAAAGGTCGAAATGTCGCAAAAAGATGAAAAGGTGTTTTTCTAAAAACTACCTCATTCTTGACCGTTCTTCAAGACTTCAGAAAATTTTAAAATAATATTTTCTTCTATGCTAATTATACTGTTATTTTATCATTTATTTATTCATATTTGCAATCTAGTGATTCATCTATCAT